AAACTTTTACTTCACTACATTTCAGGAGCAAATACTATTCTTATTACTCCAGAACATATATCTAAATGCTGCAGTTACCAGTTAATTTGCAGATGAAGACTTCCTTTACTGAGCTTATAAAACACAAAGCATTATTATAGAGTAATTTAAGTCACCCAAAAGGATATAAATGGAGTAAAATTAGTTTTACTGCAACTAGTATATTCAAATGGTGCTTGCATCAATAATAAAAATCTAATATCAAAACATAGGCTATAGAAACTTAACAATGAAAGATCCCATTTGGCTGTAGGAAGTATGCTACTTTTACTTTTTTTTTTTTTTTTTACTTAATAGGGGTTTGAATGCAGGACTTTTACTTGTAAGTATTTTTTTAAATGGTGGTATTTGTACTTTTGCTGAAGTAAAAATCTGAAAAAGCTACTTCTTCCACCCCTGCTTTTTGTAGATATTAACTAGCTACTTGTCAATTAGCATAGTCCTCACCAAAAAAATTATATAGCCTAGCAAAACGTTGCCTAATAGTACCTGATAATAAAAGTGAATCGAAAAGAAAAGACCCCTTATAACCACAAAATGTAGTCTAACCAAAATAAACTACAAAAAAACCATTCACTGTGGGTGAAGCAAGTATTTACTACTCACTGTGTGTCGCTCCTGCTTTCGGTCCGTGTCCTCTCCGGTATGCTGGGACTATTCTCCGCTTGTTTGACATCCACCGCCACTTAGTGAGCTCTGTGGGACAGGTCCCTCAGTACTGGAGCAACGTCATTACGCACTCAGCCAGAGAGCGGGTCCAACACGGCGTGAAATTAATTTCGCCTTGATTTAAAGGTTCTTTATTGTGTTAACGCCGTCATTGAGGGGAGGAGGAGACCATTAAATATTATACTTAACAGACTTGCTGCTGTTGGGACTGTGTTAAAGAAACCTTGTCACTGTTATTCATCAATAAGAAATCAAATATTGTGAAGTGAAATCACCTTTTGTTAATTTACTTTTATTATCTTTACAGGAAGCCAACACTTCCACGTGCTGCAGAAAACATTAGATGGGTGTTCGTGCTTGCGCGCGTGCACGTGCTGATCAAACGCTAAAAAAGTGGCCGCATCCGTCCACATGAAGGCAGAAGAGTCTCCTGCCAGGTATGACTTTTATCAGAAGCCAGTTATGCTAACTGGTCATTATGTATCTCCAGTTTCAGTTTGGAGCAGCCTTGGTTTCACTGCACGAGGTTATGCTTCCCTGCATGGTGATGTAATCTCTCTCTCTCTCTCTCTCTCTCTCTCTCACACACACACACACACACAGAGGGAGTCATAAATACGTTCATGGACATCAGTCAGTCATAGTTGTGTTTTGTGGCGTTGACAGAAAAGCATTGAGAGACTATATTGTTTGACTGGATGGTCTTTTTCATCCATCCTTTTCAGTTCATCATCACTTACTCACAGCAGCTGCAATTTAGTATCAACCAGTTTTTCATGACACATACTTCATTATGTAAATATAAAACATGTTCACATGTTTTCATCCAAACAAGAATTTCTCAGTCATGTCAAAGCAAACAAAGCAAACAAAAACAGTATCAGTATGTTGGTTTTGTAGAGGGATCTCACATATTCTAACTCTAAAATGTCAAATTCACTTGTCTGGATTTGTTTGGGGGGCACATGCATGTTAAACAAAGAAAATGTTGGTTTTTCTTGCTGCAGTTAATAGAACATTTATCAGAAAGAAAGAATAAGAAAGAAAGTGCACCATTTTCCACACTGGGTGAATAGCCTTTGGAAATATGATTCCCTACATCCATCTAGTGGCCATGTACTGTCATTACATACTACATAAACCATATAATTCATGCTGCTCGGTTATTGTAAATATGATGTGGTATACTGTATACTTTTACCAGACAGCATATTCTTATAATGGCCTCAAACCAATCCCAGTTCACACTGGGAAAGAGGCATGGTCCATCCCAAACAAATCACCAGTCTATCAAAGCAACAGTGTGGAGTACTGCACCAAGGGAATGTCAAAATGTCAAAGCATGTACAGGGTGCTGTTGGTCACTCTATCTCATCTTCCTGCAAAAAGTGTGTCTGTTCCTTCTGCTTTGAATGATCAATTCAAGCCTCTGCTGAAACAAAGGTTTATGAAAGTATTATGAGCTCATACAGTAGCTCTCTTCAGCTAGGCACACATGTTCAGTGCTGAAAATAAATTCATAAACTTTATTGTGCTTGCAGGAATTGTGACATTATCACAGCAGTACAAAGGAAAAGAAAGCAGTACATGAAACAACACCTAAAAAGCATCCAGAGGTAAAAATGCAGTGTACCGTACAAACCTCAGTGTGGCATGAAAAACATATGACACAACCCACAGTACAGTAAAGAAAAGTTATTGTGGGTAAATAAAAATTATATAATTAGTCCATAAGCGAGGGAAAGAAATACAGTGTGCTCTGTAGAGGATGGGGAGATGATATACCAGTCTACCAGATGTAAGTGAAGTCAGCTGTGGTTTTCACTACAGGTCTGCTGGCAGGGTGTTCGCATACTTCTTAGAGAAAATGGACCCAAGTGATGGCACTGATAATGTCAGCAATGACAGTATGGACAGAATGTTAAATTATCTATTTTAGCATAATTCATGCACATGAAAATTTGTTTCTCCAAATTGGGCTCTGAAGAAGAGAAACAGTTTTTATTGGTTCACCCCAAAGCCTCTGAGGTGTCAATAATCTGCTGTAGTTTGCACTGGAGGGTTGTCCCTTGGTGATGTTAGCTGTCAAACTAATGTGAAAGAAAGCGACAGATGAACATGTTGCAAAGACATGTTTTGGTTTTTTTTTATGCTCAGAATGCTCTGCCTGAGTCTGTCCTGTCGGTAAAATGTAATCTAAAGAAGATCAATCCAGTACCTTTGAAATTTAGAGAGGACGAAGAGGAGGAGGAGGAGGAGGAGGAGGTGATTAATTATGTCAAAGGTCACATTGAAGCCCCTACAAAAACACTAACAATACTCCCCCCCATGTTGCTTGTCACTCTTATCTGTTTAATTGAACACAATTACAATAATTTACATAACAATATAAACAAAAAGTAACACACAGCACTTAATGTTGTGTAATATAAAAATAACTATCCAAGTGACCTTCAGTGAGCCATGTGAGGTGGCTTTTACTCTCCTCTTCTCCAGTCCATTTGGCAGTTACAGCCCAAAATTAGCTGCACCAACTGTCATTCACTAATGACAGTTCAATGTACAGTACATTCAACTTCAGCCTCAGAAATTGGAAACATGCAAATATTGGACTTTATGGAGCTTAACAACAAAATAAAGTTACAAAACAGAGATACATCAAAATCATTATTCAGTTTCATAGGTATAAATCATCTTTTCCCTCTGATGACTCGTGGTGCAGAGCTAAAACTATAGCTATACAGTAAGTATATTGTATGCATTAATCATTTACACAAACTTTAAAGTTAGACTTTTTGGTATGTTTAGCGAGGCTGTCAAGTTGTCCAATTAGGATTAGCCATAATTACCTTTAAACCACAATTTATTCACCACAGCAGCAAACTTTCCCTTTCACCATACTGTAATTGCTATTCATGTGCAGATATTTAAGAACTGAAAAATGTAATTAACACTGGCTGGTGACAGAGTTGACCTTACCTGACCAGTGGAGACCTTGCTCTCGGATAATCATGGGCACTCTTCTCAGGAATTGTGCCAAAAGTTGGATTCAGAAATGTTTGATCAGCACATGAACTAACACGAAACAGTGCTACTCCTACATGTCCTCAACTTTGTTACTGCATAATATTTATAGCTAAAAAACCAACAAATGCACATGTATCAAATGTTAAAACACAGATGATACAGCCATCACACCTGACTTGATTTACATTTATTCACATTCAGTTTTGTAAATCAAGTCAGGAGCTACTTTTGTACTTGCAGAAATTGCTACTGCATGCTGCAAATTAGCTTGGAGGAATTATAATAATTAGGAACAGGAATAAGTTAGGAACAAGAGCAGCTGTCATTTAGTGACTGGTGTGATTCTGTTATCTGGCTAAAAATAAAGGACAATTAACCAGCCAAACAAACTAATAAACAAAATTAACAAAGCCTTCAGTGAACATCTTTGGTCATATATGTATATAACTCTTATATATAAACTTTACTAGTGCCTCCTTTGCATAATGGGACAATGAAAGCACACGCTCACTCAACATCACTGGCAACAACATCGTAACAACAGAAATAGTACAATTATGATTTTTTTTTTTGTTGAATGGGAATAGTTTGAGGGAGCAGTGGAGCATTTGTTATAAAACACAGTGTCCGGACAATTAGCAAGACACATTAAAAGTCATCACAAAGAAAATGCAAAACATTCATTGTTTTATGAGACATATCTGACCCCACTTAAGTCTTCTGACCAGTGTCTACGACCTCCCCTTCTCCTTACACCACTATCTCGCTGTCAATGAAAAGTTGGAAAGGTCCACACTGCCTAAAGAAACTACTACCACGAGACAAGAATTGAATATACTGCACATGCTTTATATACTCTAAGTACATCCTCACAACCTAAAGTTATTGCTTTGCTTTCTTTAGTCAGAGAACCTGTGATGTAGACCTAAAACAACTGACATATAAACATTTTAGCTCAAAACTTTATATCACAATTTCACCTTAGTTTGAATAGTTAAACAAAGAATCCAGCCTGTCAAGCTTGGGCCCCAAGCTCATGCTGCCCCCTCAGGGTGCCCCTGTCCCTGCCAAGTCTGACAAACACTGCACACTGCATTCCAGGAACCAGGTCATATTGTTTCATTTGCCGTACCAACATTTCTTCTGCACTCCAGCTACCTAAGAAACTAGGGCCCAATTCCGACCCGGTCCCTACGCACTCCCAGTCAGAGACGGAGTGTAACTGTGTGTAGAGTCGCACTCGTGGCTGTGGAGGGCCTCTTTCATCAAGGGGGAGGGTATAAATACAACGGCAAGCTTGTCTTAATCTAATTATATCCTCATTTTTTCAACAGTTTATTTTTCAAATATCAAATAAAAAAACACATCCCGTTTTTTTGGTGGTAGACAGTGCCATGTTCATTCCAAAATACAATGTAACCTCTAATTTTGTCATGTGTGCGTGAAAATGTCTGTTTGAGATAATTTATTACATGTCCTTTGGAAATAAACACACAGAACTCACATTGGACGGTAAATGGCATTTCATCTATCCCGGACTCAAAGTGATGCTGCACTCGTCTGGGAGTGTGGTTTGTAATAATAATCCTGCATCGATGCACTCGGTGTTGGAGGGCTTTATAACCCTCTCCCACTTACGGGTCATTAGTTTGGAACAACACTTAACATGGCGAACCCTTCACACAAACGCGCAAAGGTAGGGAGAGAGGGTAGAGGGAGTGTGTAGGGGCCGGATTGGAATTGGGTCAGAGTCAGTGAGCTCAGAAACAGATAACAGTTCAAATATTGATTTCAGTGGGTGAATACTTTGTCCACAGCCAATACACGTCTGGGCCTGTGGAGAAGAGTGTGGTGTGATCTGTGGTCTGAAATTCTAATAAATAATATAGCTTTATTGGAAAAGAGTACAAGGGCAAATACTGAAGTCCAGCTCGTCAAGAGAGCAGCTCCACTGCCTCAAAGACTTCTGATGAGAAGTTCAGACTGACAAAAACATTGTTCTCCATTGCCTCAACGCTCTCCTCCAGGCAGACGCTGTCATGGTTGATGAGGCTGCTTTCAGAAGTCGGACTGATGACGATTATGCGTGGAACACCCTGAGGCGACTTGGGATCAGTAGATGGGACTTTTCTGAAATTTAGCGAATCAAAAGAATCGCTCTTGTGGCTGTTGAGCCTGTCACTGATACTCCATCTTTCCTTTCCAGAATCTGAAATATCATTGGTCAGACTCTGGCTGCGCCTCCTGGTAAGAACTAGTAGGGGGAGAGTAGCGATGGTCAGAGAGCTGGTGACCAGTTCATGCTCACAGGTGCTGGATGATTCAGCCATGGAGGATGGATGCTAGCAGTTTAAAAACCAAAAAATAAATAAATAAAAAATTCAAACTCAAATACACAAGAACACAATTTGCAAAACATCAATTCATGATACATGAATGCATGCAGGCAAATAAAACTAACATAATCCAAACACTTCCAAGCACACATGGAAAAAAATCAGAGCAGTTTCCTCAATAAACCAAAAAAATATTTGAGCTCATGTCACACTTTTTCGTGTTGTGTTTTCTCACCTTCTCTGCTGTATGGGTCTTGGAGGGTTTCCGCTCTAACTGTTTCTTGTAGGACCTCCCTCTGCAAGACTGACTGTAAGAAGACGTGCTTCTGAAGGAATCACATGACTTCTTGCCCAGAGGCTCCATCTCTACATCCCTCAATACCTACAGGACAGAACAGAACTGATTGAGCTGAACGAACTGAGCTAAATGGAAATTATCCAAGCTTAATCTAACTCAGATCATCATATAATCTAACTTTCCAAAACCTGAACATGAACATGTCCTTATCTTGTGTCAGGAAATTAAAGCACTGGAGTGATGGCCTTCACAACAAAGTTGTTAATTAATGATGAAGATAGCAAGTATGTATGTTTCTACACACGCCTTTAGGCAAATATTTCCTAAAGAACACTTAAAATAACAAAATTATCCTTTTTTTTTTTTTTTTTACAAGGTTGGTGGGAAATACAAAATTAATGGGAAGAAATTATCTTATGTACAATTACCATGACTGTGGAGTTGGGTGAAGCTGTAATGAAGTGTGTCCTTGATGCTGTGGACTGTCTGCTGATGATGGAGTCCCTGAAAGAGGACTCACTGATGGAGGAGGAGGAGATGCACTCCTTCCGAGGAGTAGGAGACAGAAACCAAAGGCAGGGAAACTTCTCTGCTAGAGTCATCCTAATGAGTAAAGAACAACAGAAAAACACAGGTAGACTTAATTTACTTTAAATTTGTTTCTATAGGCAAGTAACTGCAATTTGTCAATGCTGTTAACAATTTATCTGAATTGCTGCATTGACAGGATGAATACAACAACTCTGAGTCATCCTTTACCTGTATTTGTTGTGGATGATAGCATAGATGAAAGGATTGTAGATAGTGGAGGCTTTAGCTATGATTGCAGGGACGGCCTTGGAGTATGGCGACAAGATGTTGGCATGCCTGAATGAGAAAGAGCAGCAGAATGTAAAGTCTCCATCAGCCTAGTTTGAAATAATCTTGTTCATTTTGCAGTCTTCAGTTGTTTGTTTGTAGTGTGACAACACAACATGCCTCAAAGTTCCCTTTATCTCTATATATTATTGCAATAAAATGAAGAGGCATTTTGGGTCAAGGATTAGCCAAAATGGGCCAGCTGCCACTGAGGGGTGGTTAAATCCATCTGATTGTGCGCGCTCATGTGTGTGTGTTTGTATGTGTGTGTGTGTGTGTGTAAGACTACCTTTCCCCTGTGAATGAGCAGGGAAAAGATGTGATTTCAAAGTTACATAACTACGTCCCATCCTACTGTATGTCCCAGCAGAGACATGCGGTTTAATGAATGTTGTGATAGTTTGGATTAGCAACTTCACCGTCTGTTGTATGTCACTCATCCAGGGATACTTGGCTTGTAGCTGACACTACATTATATAATAACACATTCAGTGCCAGTTTGGGGAGATTTTCATCCAAACTGCCAGCACACCATCCTTACTGGAAGTGTGTAGCATGAAAGTCACCAGGAGGTCTGGTATTACTGCCATGCTGTACCATGCTGATTCCATTCTTTATATACGACGAAGGGTTTGATGCAACTAGATATGATTAGATTTAGTCTTGTTCTAATGTAAGATGCAGTGTGAGATGTTGCAACTGAATACAATGAACATCTCTAGATCTACAGTATTTATGTTATAGTTTAGTGTGTACCCCGATTGCTTGAAGAAATTGCCAGAAGTTAATATTAGTGTGACTGCTGTCTGTGTGTTGTGTGCCTAAACAGCCTAAATGAAATGTTTGTTGTGGGAATTGTAAATAGTTTGTTATTTTTTTATTTGACTTTTCACTATGTGAGAAGTGTTCCCTGTACATATACTGAGCATACATTGCCCATACTATTTCTTCAACTTCAATGGGTAATTATAAACAGTATATTCTCTTCTCCTCTTCTCTATATTCTCTTAATATATTAAAATATTAAATATTAAAATACATATAATACATTATATATATTAAAAAGTAAATGGTTGGAGTCTTCAGAGAACACTGATACAACATGGCAGGGATGCAATTATAGACACAACATGCTTAACACAAATAAGTAGAAGAAGAAACATTTAAAATGTTAACTCCACCATAAATTATTATTCCCCTGGCTGCAAACCAAATTTCTCCCTTAGGGACAATAAAGAGGGATTGATTTATTCAAGTCTTACCCAGCCCAGGAAATCAGTGTGACACAGGCATATGGTGACCAGGAGAGGACATACACCACAATGACGACAAAGGCGATCTTTGCCAACTTCCACTCACTCCTGATAGACTTCTGCTGGATGAGGGTGGATTTCCTCACCTGAGTCCCCAGACGTTCTACCTCCCTGTAGGTGGAGCAGGACGTAGGGAGCATTCAAAGAGAAAGCTTGACCCCAAAACAAACTTTATATCCAAATTTCATATATATATATATATATATGCTTGTGTGTGTGTGTGTGTGTGTGTGTGTGTGTGTGTGTAGTTACAATACCTGCTAGTCTTCCTTATAGCCAGAAACATTAGGAGATAGCAGTAAAAGATGATTCCCAGTGGAATAAAGAAAACAAAACAACACAGCATCATTGTGTAGCTCCTATTGGCCAATGTGTATGTGACATAATCCCATGTACAAGATGTCATCAGGCCCTCAGGGATATAAGAGCCTAGAAGGGTAAAAGGACATTGAATATATTTATTGAAGTTACAGGAAGATAACACCATGTTTGAATTAAGCCTTAGTTTTGTTTTGATGTAATGTCTGAGGAGCAGTAGATTAAGATCACAGGTGAACTCTGTTACTGCAGGTGAATGAATGAAGATTAGTTATATTCATCCCCACATCAGTTTTTCTACAGTAGGAAAAACAAGAGCAGGTCCTTTGCCTGTTTCTGTTAGACTCTCTCATGGCATGGTACAGTATTAGTGAGGCAAGTGAAGGAGGATTACAAGAAAGGACACTCAGGTAAATGAAACTCACTCCAGCCAACTAGAGGAGCCAGACTCCAGGCCAAAGAGTAAAGCCAGACCATGAGGATGGCCAGGGCGGTTCTTCGTTTGGAGCTCCAGTGTATTGCCTGCAGGGGCTTGGTGATGACCACGTAGCGGTCGATAGAGATGGCCAGTAGGTTTATCATGGAGGCAATGCCAAACAGGGCGCCACAGAATGCATACATCTTACAGCCTACAGGGAGGGAGCACATACAAACATATAAATGACTCAGCAGAACATATTACTTTATCTAATGTGTTTTTGATTAAAAAGAAATATGATTTATAAATATAAGATCTGTCTTTGAGGCTTTAGAAAAGATCTAACAGTAATGCTAACAGAGCAGAACTGAACTGAGTGTGTTGTACTAGAAATAAAAAGCAGAATTACCCATCTCTCCAAACACCCATTCCTTGTACAGACAGTTGATGAAGAAAATGGGCGACTGTGTGAAGGCCATGAGGAAGTCACTAACCGCCAAGTTCATGATGAAGTAGTTAGGCAGGTTACGAAGCTTCTTGTTACTATATACACACACACGCACACACACACACACACACACACACACACACACACACACACACACACACACACCCACATGACACACAACACACACACACACACACACACACACACACACACACACACACATAGAGGGAGAATAAGGGAATTCTGATGGTTAGTAAACTGTACTGACACAATATGTTCATTATAATGAGAACTTGGCTCTTTCAGTTGATTTTATTTGAATGCTTAACTCAATATACACAGTGCTGTTTCAATGTCAGAATTAATTAGATATAAGCCCTGTGTTGAACTGATCAACTCTGTGTGAACCTGCATTCATACCAGCTTGATTAAGCAGCATATTGACCCGCTGTCTGCCTCCACAGCTCTTTATTGATTAAACTCTGCTCCTGTGTTTTCCTGAATTCAAAGTGGCTGCTCCACCAGCTCCCCTGAACACCAAACAATGTGGTTTCTTATGCCTGTGAATATTTGTGCATTTGTTGTTGGATCACAGCTGGCTATGTGTTCGTCTGACGAAGTATCACAAGTGCGCGTGTGTGCACAGTACTCACTTTATTCCCAGAAAATCATCGTACCGGGTAACATCTCACCTGACAGTCAATTACCTCCCTCTCTTCTCTCTCATGGTCTGTCTCTCGCTGTGTGTGTGTGTGTGTGTGTGTGTGTGTGTGTGTGAATTTTCTCAGAACCCATAACATCATGTGCATTTCTGATTCAGTAAACACAAACTATCAGCACAACACAATGGAGGACCCATCTAATCTATCTACAGTGATGGACAGATGGAATATAAAAGCTCTTGACAATCCCCAGAACAAACGCACACACCCACACACACTTTCTCTCCCTGACCCAGTTTCTGTGAAACAGTTAACGTCAGTAGCACAATAAGAGGTCAATGGCTGTCCAAATTACACAACATATAACACACATACTTTGCTTCTCAAAGAAAAATTTACAATTTGAGAGTCACTCATCTTGAAGAATTACTTGAAATATTTAGAAAAAAATTACCGTTTATATTCAACCTTAGCTGATGCTTGTGACTGTAAATGGGCTGTGAATTTCACCATTGCTTTGAACTACATGGTACATTTGATTTATAGTGAAATGCACAATAATTTTATGCAGTCTGAGTCACTGCTGTTTGTTTGAGCTATGTATGCTTATAGACTTTTTTACCACATAGTATGTTGCTGTATTTCAGAGGACTTGTTGCTATGTTCCGAGGAGCCCAAACCACAGAGCACGAAAATGGTAAAAAAAAAAAAAAAAAAAACTAATTTGGGTAAAATCGCAAATAGATGTGTCCCAGTTGAGGTTTTATATTACTCATGCCATTACACCTGTTTTGCAGATGCGTATTTGCACAGTGAAAACCTGGGAAAGATCACCCTTATTTAAACACATTTTTTCTATACAGTAGTCCACATGATTTCTCAAGGATACAAGACAGATTTTCTACCATGAACACTATGTTTCACTTAGTTGCCATGCAACTAAGATGATCTTTCAGCCCGGACACTAAGATGCAAAGATTATTTTACTGATAATCGGCAGCTTTTTGGAAACCCCTTTCATCCTAAAAGTCACAACATATAATGATCCTCACTCTGCAGTGAATTAAAGACTGCAAAAATGCATAAACCTTAATTGCAATGTTCAATGTTGCAATATCTCCCAAACCATTTCTAACAATCAAAACCCACAGTCCTGCACAGATTTAGTTCTCTCTGTATGCCTCTCCATCTGTTCCGCTCCCTCTGAGACCATAACATCTCTGAGTGATTATAACATGTCCTCAGGGCTCTGAGTAAGGAAGACCCACATTAAAAATGATAAAGGCTAATACAGTCAGATACTCAGGGTAAATCCACTGAAAAGAACACACGCACTCATTAACTCAAAGTAAAATTCTGGAAAAAAAACAAAAAACAAACCACTCACACAAACCCACCTATAGAAGGCAAACATAACCAGAGCGTTGCCAGTGATGCCCAGTGTCCCGATGACAAAGACGAATAAAGCGACAATGTAGTGAACATGGTCAGGCACATCCACCTTGCTGAAGAAGCTGCTCTGGGTGTGCGCTTTCTCCGGCTCCATGCTTTCAGTGGACCACATGGTTCAAACACCTCGTCAGGACTGCCAACCTGGCAGGATGCAATAGGTCTACTAGTTTGTAATCCACTTCATTGTGCTCGTGTCGGGCCTCCATGGTTGTATCATTTGCGACAAGAGATGCAGTGGAGATGTACAGTATCTTCTTTAGATCAAGCTACATTAAGGTCTAGATTAATTCGGTTTACTGATTGTTTTCAACAGAAGGCAACCCCTGTTCTTCCCATCATAAATCATCCATTTAGTATGTAGGACCAGGTGATCTCCACTTTGTAAAGATGTGAAATGTCAAATCCAGTCAAGTCCACGTGTTTAAATCTGGAGAAAAAGCTGGAAAAATGAAAAAGATTATCTGTACAAAATGATATATCTTCTATAACGCCAAATGTTATCAAGCTGTCAATATTACATTATAGAGATATGAGATATTACAGAGTATATGGGTATTAAAATGTAGAGCATGAAAAAATAACAGTTCCTCTTTTACTTCTTTTTCAGGTAGTGTTAGATATTCAATGACGTCCACAGCTGTGCACACATTAGTTTTCTCCAAATGTACTTTAAAAGCAACATCCTCTCTGATATTCCCCTCCGGTCTGCAGATCCAAAGCGTCCTCCACCCGCAGGTATCCAAATGATTCCTGTCTGACTCTTGGGTTATTGAGTTGATGATACTCTCCAGTACATTAAATCCCACACTTGTTACACATTGTCACTGTCCGTCGACTCAGTGTCAGCCTGCAGCCTCGTCACAGCAGCTGTGCACCAGGCTCTGAATCAGTGGCCTGTCTCTGATTATCTTTCCAACTAGCAACTCCTAACCTCTCATCTCTCTCTCTCTCTCTCTCTCTCTCTCTCTCTCTCTCTCTCTCTGTCCCTGTGTCTCACTCTCACTGTCCCATGTTTCTCTGTGTGGCTCTCTCAACCCTGCTCCCTTGTCATACTCTCTCTCTCCCTCTCTCCTCAAACTCACTGTGTCCCTCGCCTACCCCTCTCTCTCTCTCTCTCTCTCTCTCTCTCTCTCTCTCTCACTCTCTCATCTCTATTCTCGTCCTACTTACTCTCTCTCTCGTCTCACTTCTCTGTCTCTTCTTCTCTCTCTCTCTCTCCTCTCCTCTTCTCTCTCTCTCTCTCTCTCTCTCTCTCTCTCTCTCTCTCTCTCCCCCTCCATATAATATGGCCCAGCCCTGAGCTCTAACCCTTTAACTACCAGCTTCTTACATAACAGTCATGATGTTCACCAACACTACCAGCCATTTTAGCTCAGGCATGCATTAGACTTTGTAAACTGCACATGCACACAATGATGCATGCCCTTCACCTTTCATGTCTATTGATTCCTGCCAGTCTGTGGCTCATTACAGCAGTCATCCCCGTGCTAATGAGTCTGTTCTGTGAAACCTCCTCCATGCATGCAAGCATTCAGGCATGGTGCACAAAGACGGTCATGTTCTCTTGTCCTAGCCATGTACGCTCTGCTGCGACATCATTGTGTCACTAACAAGTTCAGACTCTTTAAGATCCCTCATGGAACACAGCCCAGCTAATTAGTCTCTCCACTCATAACTTATGGAGTCAATTCACCACAGCTTTGAATCGCAAGGCACACATCATGATCCAGCACACACACACACACGTCTCCAACGTTTCATACCGTCCATTCAGCTGTAGATGCAGATTATTCATGTGCAGAGGGAACAGCTTTGAGAAAGTCCTTGTTCTCTCTGGGAAGAAAGCGTTACAAAAGTTAATTCTAAATCCAAAATACTGTAATCCAGTTATTATAAATGAGTACTCAAAGGCTTCATAGAAATATATCACAAGATAATATTATAATTTTGAAATATCTAAGACTAGTTTGTTCATTGTGTGTAATTCTTTACTGTCATGACCATGCTGATGTACCAATTGAAAATGAATGCATCAACAATTACAAATAAGTTATTTGTGAGGACTATAGGCTATAAAATATATATGTTATATAGTCATCAGATATAATTTACACTTTAACAATTGAGAAACCATTATCTTATACTAAAGAAGGGAAATTGACGTTTCTTGGTGAAATGCACCAGGTGCATGTTGTCTATAATGAAAAGACTTGTTATTGATTAATTACTTATAATGGTTTTAAATGAATCAGTTACCAAGAGCAAATGGGGACAAGATAACGCCTTGGTCCGAGTAATATTCTCATGACTGCCTGTAGGACATGGGTCAGAAGCACGCCACATCTGCTGGTCATTGCTTTTTATGGTGCTGGACATGTTGGTAAAAGGAGATGAAGGGAATAGAGGGTGTTGAAGAATGCAGAGCTTAGACAGAGATGCCAACTAAGCCCCTAGAGCAAGGGATAGCCTTAATCTGCACACTGTGCATGCATGTAGATCAGTGTTTGATCTGCCTGGAATAAGAACTTGTGTGATACTCTACATGCATGTACTGTGTGTGTGTGTGTGTGTGTGTGTGTGTGTGTGTGTGTGGTGGGGTGGGGGGCATGTGCCAGCATGCATGTCTGTCCACGAATGCATGTATATGTACTTGTGTATATGTATTTGTGCAACCATTTCACAGAGATATCACAGGGGATTACTGTTGTACGGTTCTGCTGCCGGCTTTGATAACCTAATCACAGTTATTGTGTTTATGCTTGCATGTCAGCACAGCAGGAAATATACAACAGGAAATAAACAACAGCAGGGAAATATACAACAGGACATCCAATCTACTATGTAAACTACTAAAGCTGAAATAAGATAAAATATATACTGTATATTGTGAACTGCTAAAAGCTTCTAAACAAATATACAAAACACTAGACAAAACTGGAAATGCAGATTTGCCTTTTGATTGCATAAAATGGGTCAAGTTTGATGTTGCTTTGCTTTACATTGACTGTGACTACAAGGCCACTTGTCATGTTAATACACTCTTTGCAACAAGCTTCAGTTAGAGAGGGATTAGAAGAAGATGAAAGAGTCAAGTCAAGTCACACCCTTCATCCTGCTCTCAGCTCTCTCTCAGATGTAAGCTGCTGGTTGCAGGAAAAAAATGCTTCAAAATTCAAATTAAAAGATGAAATTCAAATTCAAATTCTGGTAATGTATTGTAGACTATGCAATGAATCAAAGGTATGCTACCTTACAATGAACATAATGTATTTGCATTCTAGCACAGGTTGCAAAGCATATTCATACACAAGAGAATCAGAGTCACTTTACATAAACTCATTAAAACATACAACTGAGACCATGCTGCATGTCCTGAAAATGTTCATTACATAAAAACATATTTAGAAACAATTCATTAATTATGGAGAAATGTCATTAGGCCTTCATTTCATCTATATTTTAGGAGCATTTCAGGTTCTCTAAGATACTGAATGTACACAAAAAAAAAAGTTTAAGCTTAACATGGCTTTTTCTATTTTATTTGTTTATTGTTTATTTATTTTCCCCTGTGGAAACACTAGGAGGCCTTTTCCAGAACACCTAATGGATCCAATTGGTGACAACATATAAACCACTCAGAAACATCTTTCAGCATAATCTTAACATAATCTTTAATCTACTTGACAGTTGTGCAGTTTAATTTATCTCCAAAACCGAGTTATATATCCTGCTTACAAATTATAATCTTGTTTTTTGTATGCATTGTGGTTTGTATTTGTTGACGGGTGTAAAAGTTATCAGAAGGGTTTTCCTGCAGGTTGTAAGTTCATGTCTCTGATCATCACAGTGCCACCTAGCTGTAGTCTCCTGTCTGTTTCACTCCATGTGATCTGGATAAATGACCTTGTCTTAATGGAAAAACACATCAGTGGTGTGGAACTCCTGGAGCATGACCCGGACAGTGGTGCTCAGCATTCCACATGTCAATGAGTCAATTACTATTGAACCAGCTGGTAGTGCTGGTGCTTAAGTCCTGGGCTCGAATACCCTGTTTAAAGATATAGCTCTCTTTTGTCCAACAGTGGAAACAGACTAATTATTATTGACTGGTGCTGGTCATATGACCAGGCCTGCGTCCTCTGGCACATGAGTCAGTTGGAGATCAATAGATCAGAACAGAGGGGCAAATAAGTCATAGATACTGTACAGAGCACCATCAACATGAAAAAAAATATGCCCTAGGAGGTTGACTGTCAGGTGCCTGTTGCCCTGAAGTGGCTTCTGTAGCAATGACAACTGGCTCACTTTTTTAATCCAGATTAAATGGGATGCATGTACCAGTTGTTTTTTTTTTATTACTCAAGTGTAGTGGGGAGAACAGCACCATTGTCCTTTCTCACAATTTGGATGAAATCCTTTTTTCTGCATCAGCACCAAAAACTGATCATATGTTCCCATGCCGTAACTTCCCACCAAATCTTAATTGTATCTGTTCTTCAGACATTCTGCCAGCAAATAAACAGACTTAAAAACCTCTGAGAGAGGTTATAAGAACATCATAACTTAATGTAGCTTGCTGTATTTACTACGAATACATGTATATGCTCTCAAGAATAACACATGAGAGAGACTTTCTATTCACACCATGGGAAGTTTACCTCCTACAGAGTAAATGAAATGGTTTGCCTTTGGAGGATTGTGTCACAAAATCTGCCTTTTAATGACAAAAATAGATTTGAATTTAATATCAGCAGCACTCCTGTTGTGGTCATTTGTCTGGAGTGGTTGAAAGAGTTGAATGTCCTCCAAGCAAACAGAAGTTTTGCATTTTAACATCATAATATATGTACTGAGGCTGTTCCATGTTTACTGTCTATGCTCAAGATCCTGCCATTCATTTTAAGATAGAGCTATTGATCATAGATATCACTTATTGTATGAGGTGTACTGTGATGATGTGTGGTTTATCACCCTAAACAGACGGTGAGTAAAAACGCTGCTCACTCGCTTTAGTAAAAGTAAACATGCATCCACATGCTGCTCTGGTTTCAGGCGCAGATGTTACAAGGTGCAGCAGCAAGAGAAGTGTGAGTTAAACATGAAATGATGGATATGGTATAGACCTTTAAATCTCACATGCAATGCATGTTTTAAGCCTCTTTAGTGTTTGCCTGGATTTCTGTTAACTGCCATACTGGGAATCTAGGTTATAGATCAAACCATGTGGAAAAAGCAGGTCATAACATGCTCTTCGATAAGTGGAATGAATTTCAATCAATAACAAACCACCACAGTTGGACTCTGGATGTCCTGTCCATCTCTTTCTGTCTTTGTCTTGCCTTATCTTACCTTCTCTCTCAAAAATGTAAGGAGAACAATTAATTTTGAGTGTTTTTTTTAATATTATTGTTGTTATTATGAGTGATGGATTAAGAGATACACAGACACATAGAATATAGATGCATATAAACAAAAATACGTGAGATATCTAAAATAAAAATAAAAAATGTGGGGAGAAATAAAACTCAGGTGGCAAAAAATAAGTAAGTAAGCGTGATAATATTTCATTAAGCAAAAACAACAAGAAGAAGTTCACAGCAACACACATTTTGTCATAGGTCAGATAGGAGGGTATTAAGTAGAATAAGGGAATAGGTGTTATACAATTTCATTATGCTGAAGTAAAATGTTAAATGTAATAGAAGTGGGAGTGATTCACCAGGCTGACCATGGGTTGTTATATTCATACCTCACCTTTTAGGGAACTTTTCATGTACTTTATTGAAAGCACTGAAATGATTTAAATGGCGATTCAGGTCTGCAAAGGTGTCCCAGTTCCTCTCTCTGCAGACATCCACGTGTTGTGTTAGTATTAAACATGACAGAACACACACCATAAAAGCTATGGATGGGACTGCATGACGTATTTTCAACTCAGGTACATTCAAAATTTATGTCAATGGTGAGTGAATGGATATAAGTCTGTTGTTAAGAGGGACGGGGCAAATTATATTTATGATATGAAGAGAAGGGGCCACATTCATATCTATGTGGTCAGATGTTCATGAGCTAAATCTGAAAAATCTGTGAAATTCAATATGATTTGACATGAGGCCATAAGTCTGAAAAATGTATTATAAGTGTTTCGGTGATTGTAACAGTCAAATACATTGCTGGAAATAAATGTCTTTTCACATTGTGTTCACCCCAGCACCTGTAACATCAGAAATCCTATCATGAGGAGCAGCAGAGGTTTTTCTTCAGTCATTCCAGCACTTGCACCAGTTGCCAAGCCGAGACCTCCAGGTTTCCCTGAGAAGAAGACGATACGGACAAATCATCACAAACATTTCTCTCTCTAAATTCACTTTTGATTTGTCCCTCTGCTGTACCTACCCATGGCTAGAGTGGTGGACTTCACGTTGACCCAGAAGACCGTGCGCTGCTGAGCTACTGTGGCCCTGAAAAACAACTGTGTTATACTGCGGAAATGTTTCACGCTTAGATCGCTCTGCCTTTGTAAAGAAATTCATCTCCTCTCTGGTTTCAAATTAGATAAATCTCTTGCTTTCTGCAACATGGAACCCCATCTAGTTAAACTGCATGAGGTTTGCAGAGATCTGAAACATATAAAAGCAAAACTTGGATCTTTAGAATATTCAGAATTGTTTTTATTGTTGCCATAAGCAGTGAGCAAATTTCACCCTTTCGTACAGTCTTGCAATTACAGACATGAAAAAAAAAAGACTTGTGTGTCCTATGAGACCAGGGCAAATACTGGTTTTAAGAAGGTTTATATTTGTGATGGTAAAGCATTTTTCCTTACATGAAGTAGACAGGGCTTGTAGAGTTGGGTGCTATCCATCTGTATACAGTGCTGTTGCCCTTCAGGTTGGTGTTGGAATGAGTAACAGCACCTTGTGGATTCCCTGAGCACTGTGAACATAAAGCATTTACACCTATCAGCCTCTGTAGTTAATTCCAGTTTTTTTTTTTCAACCTTTTCTCAAGAAAAAGTCACAGTGACATAAGAAGGTGCAGAGGAGACATGGAGACATTTGAAGCACTTGTTGGATTTTTTTTTTTCTTGGTTGGAGCTTCTGTGATATTTTGGAGTTGTAGGTTGGCAGTTGTTTAGGTCGTCAACATACACATCATAACCCTTCTTGGCACTTTAACAGTGACCAAAGTGCCTGAGAATCACCTCAAGAAACTTTGTGTCTGGAGGAGGGAGTTGCCACCTCCCCAGAGCGTTAGTGCCGCTGCCTGTTCGGGCTTCCAGCAACACACCTCTGTAGACTGGCCCACTGATAGTCACTGCAGGAAAACACAACAATACACTAGTTATTGTATACTGATCTTATTTGACACAATACAAACATTATTTTAAAATCTTAGAGTCGCCTGTATGTGCAAAATGATCTCATAACAGACGACAGTTGTTTGTATAAAAACACGGCCTTTAAGCTAAATCACAGCAAATCAAGACCATTTGAAGATCAGCAATAGTGTGACAAGTGAGCACATAGTCCTTCACAAAGAGAGGCGCACACACACACATAAGGTCCATGGTGGACAAAAATCTTTGTCACTTTGCCTCATTTTAATATGTAAAAACACTGTTGTCATGTCAACATTAACACTGATATAATGGCTTAACAAGAAGATTATGAATTTGAACTTCATAAAGTTGCTCTGTGACATCAGCAGGTAACAAAGACATCACAAACCCAAGCAGACACAGAGGAGAGTAGACGATGTCAGAGTTTGAGAGAGAGATCCAGAGACTTCTGCGTTTATCCAGGCGTAAAATCCCTCAGAATAAGATTCATAAACTAAAGATTACTGTTAACAGCACAATTACTCAAACCAGCAATGATGTGACAGAGCTCCAATGAAAGATAATAAGACTTTTCAGCCGTACCAACTGTAAAAGTGATCCCATAAATTTGGTAAATATAAGTCACCTTTTATCTGTAAAGTGTGAAAAAATGTTCCCTCTCTTTATAAATGTCCTTGCTTATGAATTAATCCTTAAGTGCCACTACTGTATATGGAGACAGATTTCTACCTACTGTTTTATGTATAATCTTTAATGTTTAATGTGATGTTTGTATCGTCTCTGAAAGCAGTCATGGACTTCTTACCTGTAATGGGCTGGCCCGGCTGAAACGTCCTGGTGTTGGTGAGGAGAGCGTAGGGTGCTGGTGAAGGTTGAGGCAGCACCCCAGAGTGGCGAGGCAGCATATCTTCACAGGCACCAGTGGGAGCACCGCTGGGATAGCCGCCAACGCAACAGAGCACTTGAAGCACAAGGAAAGCGGGCAACAACTGCTCCATCAGGCTGAGTTAAAAGCCACCGCACTTCAAGCAAAAGACTGAAAACAGTGGTACAAGATGTTACACAGAACTGAGCCGCATGATGCTGCTGAGTCACACAACCAAAAAAAATCCTTTGATCTAGTTATCACTTCTCTAACCATGAAATGTGCTTTCACACGCATGCTCTCACAATTTCTTGAAAAGAATACATCAGTGATCCTCATGCATTTCAGGACAATCTTTCAGGATGTTTTAAATTGAGTAGCCCCGTGTTTCAAATCTATTGTGGCCAGGGGAAGTTAGAAAACACTTTCTATGAAAATCACAGGATCAGTACTTGAGAGAAAGAATAGTCCATAAAATGTGCTGTTGTGCAGCACTCCAGATCTACTTTTAAAGCATCTTTTAAAACATAAAATCCACGTGAGCCACTAAGCCACAGTTCACAAAACAAAAAAAGTCACAAAAAGAATTACTAATGCCTATTTTTGTCAGGGATTATTTCGTGACATAAATATGAGCATATATCATAGGAGAACCTTTTGACTTGGCAATACATACTTCTCTTATGGATGCTGCTGGCTGCTGGCAGTACATTATGTTAAATAATATGCAAGTCTAGGCAAGTGCTGCAGTTAACCCTCCAGAACCCCCTGCACAGAGCCAGACCTTATGTCCACCGCCTCGCGTCTCAGCACATTTTCCATTTGTCAAAAATCAGTATAAACATTTGAACTTTGAAGAAAAACTGACTCAAGTAAGAACCATTTGTGAGTTGGTAACAGTAATAGTGCCAACTCTGAACTTCACCATTCAGAAGCAATAATATCAAGCCATATATCTGGTGTGGTATTGATAGGCAGCTCTGTGGGATGTCACTCTATATTTAGCCACATTTATCTCACTGTCAAACCTCTGTAGAGTAAATGCTTACAATTAACCAGTGGAATACAGAGAGATACTGCCTCCAATTTCTTTTAAGCTTTCATTGAAGTGGTTACGCCTGTTAAATGGAAATAATAATAAATAGATAAAATAATAAAAAAAACAATTATATAAAGAGCAAACATTAACCAGGGCTCTTCATGAAACCACATTCAAGTCTGTCATTTGCTCCTGAATGCGAGTATTAAGACCTTTAGATAGACCTCAGACAATCAGTACAGTAACACGTGAATGACACTTGATATTGTTGCTGTGAGTTCATCACACATTTAGTAAATGGTTTATATTTCTGTATAGGCTTCGACCACAGACTGACTAAACTGGATGCCGACGTTGAGGAGCTGAGAAAGAGATTAGAAGATTGCTGACAATTTTCAATTTATTCTGTGTTGTCCTCATTATCACCAAACACACACACACACACACACACACACGGTGTTACATCACAGGCACACCCAAGCTATGGTTCAGCTTCCATGTTTGGGCTGTAAGCAAATGCTAAGTCTCATTCATTCACATACTAAGCATGAATAATGCCACTCAAAATCTTATTTCAGCATGTAATGTTAAACATCTCCGGAGTCTCTGATTAAGTGCTTATCAGAAAAGGTTTTCAGAGTAAAAAAAAAAAAAATCCCCTTTTTCTTAGTTTGTGCACATGTGTAATCTTTGTGCTTAAAGGATTAGTCTCTCATTTGCAGTATTTGGTTGGGTATTTCTGAGTGGGACATAGCAAGAACTGATTGTGTCTTTGTGTCTCCTTAAAACTTGTTTAATCTTTTTTTTCTAAAAAAAGGATTTGTCTCTAACAAAACAAGAATAAAGACATGATTAAAAAACAACTGACTTTCACGTTGAGACCGACTGAATGTCAGTACTTTGGAAAAATAATAAAGTGTCACAGGACTTATGATTATATCACAGAAGATGTCTGTAGAATTAATGTATTATTCACTTTACATATGACAACATATAACAGCTGGTGTGAACCTGACTCTAAGAGGAAGCAGCAGACTTTTAATCTGAACAGATTTAGTGCTGTGGGGATTGCATTTACCTGAGAATACCTTATCCCATGACATGTTCTGTCTGGCTCTCATCTGTTTAAATTTACATTTCTCTGGGAAGATGGACTCTACTCTTTCATCATTTATCAAGGGATATATGATTTTAAATGACTTTAAGAAGCATTATGGCTCATGTGGTGTCAGACTGTTGTAACAGTCTGATCATCTTTTCTTTTTCTTTTTTTCTTTTTTGCAGACTAACTTTGGGCCACATTGAGTGATAAGGTTTTGTTCCAGCTTATTACTGAATCATTGATAGGGCACATGCTAACTAATTCATTTTCCATGCATTGTCAGAGTAGATCGGTTTTGTAACAGAATGTTCTGTTCTCCGTGTTTCTGCACACCTTGCAGTCAAAGTTTTCACAGGCAAGATGAGGATAATGATGATACTCTGCTCTCTGCATATCAGCACATCCTCTGTCTCTATACTTACATTTTCTCAGATTCAACAATGTGAGGTAAGCCATATCAATGAAAACGACTGAACTAACATAAATCCGTTTTTGGTAGGACTGAACACTGTCCTCCCTTTCTCCCCTAAATAAAGTATGGTCTGTTAGGGTAGTGAACATGGGGAATACAAATCCAACATAACATTCCCTTGTTTGGTAACACACTTGCTAAAAGCTGATGCGAGCAAAAGACTGAATGAAAAAAATAAAAAGAATTGTGCACAAAGACAAAGGTCAAGTGACTTTTCCTGTTATTTTTCCATCCATCTCCTCAAGTTAAAGCCTGAGGCTCTCTGAGTCAGCTGAACAACTCAGTACAGACACACAACAACCAGTAGAAGGTGCAAGGCCATTTCCATGCTAGTTTAATACGTCTAATGGAAGTAAAATGTGTTTCACTTTTCAGTTTCAGTCCAGTTCTCCCAGTACAACTTCTTTTACAGCAATAGCAAAGCCATGGGTGCAAACAGAACACAATGAATCGCCAGTCTCTCATGTACATCCTTGCATTTCACCAGTATACTGATTTTTTTTTAACCTTATCTCTTTTAACGAGGTTCGCAATTTCTCATTGACGCTGCTTTTCGATTAACTTTAAGTTTGCTCTGTTCAGTCGAGTCGATGTGTTTATTTAAAGGGTGGGTACTGGGGTTGTCAGAAATCATCTGCATGGCTAGATATACAAGATGTAAGTGAAAAATATTTGTTGTAACTAGAGTGGCATGAGGTTATACAGTTCCTGGTGTATGTAATATGATTTGCTGTGGTATCCAAGTCGAGAGGGCAACTGCGCCAGTGAGAAAATGGATTAAGGTTAGGTTACAGGTTAGGTAACTGTTCTGATAATAGCATTAATAAAAAGAGGGAACGTACAGTGTGACCAGATAAAACCAAATTATAACCCATTAGTTATGTGACTGGATGGTTATCGTGAGTGAAGTGAACAGGGCAGGTTTAGAGCGAAGGTTACCTTTAACCTTAAACTGTGATCAAATGTGGATCTGACCTCAATACGACTAAAAGGTTTCACCAGCATGAAACAGCTGGATCCCCTCGTTGATCAGTTACCTCTGCTCTCAGCCCACTCGAGTGTGAACGCTGTTTGATGTAACTCTAGTTTCAGGCGTTGAAATATATCATCCTGCGAGTGCCACGGTGCTAGTACTGGGCTCACCGCCGCAGAGAAACGGGGACACTTGTGTATGTGTCTCTGTGTATGTGCACACATGTTCTTGTGTGTTTAGGTAATAAGTGACAGGAGGGAACAACAGCAGCAGAACAATCGAATAAAATTCAATATAAAATTCCACTGAGCAACACAGTCAGTGACATGGTTACATTAATATGATGGAGCTGTGTGCTGAATTAAAGCGAGACAATGTCCTTCTTTCTGTTAAACGATGAGTGAGCGGTGTTCCAGAGAGAGTCTGGTTACATTTCTAAAGTACATCTAACACAGGTCAACAGATTTCCCTAAACACAATACAGATGTTCTTATGCAGTCACATCTGTATATGGTGCGTACTCTAACCTTCAAGCAAACCGAAACAGGTTCAAGAAGACAGTACAGACGCAGCTCACAAAAATGCATCAAACTCCCCTGTTTTGAAAGCATAATAGAAAAACGTTAAAGCCACACGGATGTCACAAAACAAGCAGAATGTTCTGAAATGTAACGTCAAATCTTGTAGCTTTGCTTGTGATTGAAAAGCCCTCGAGAAAGGGCAATAACGCAATAAAAATAGGCTACAGGGAAAGTAAAAAGAAACAAAAAAAACCAAAGATCAGGTATTCAGCGTGTCTCTTTGTGCGCAGACCATTCTTCTATTGGACATTGTGCTCTCGAGGGTTTTTGTTGTGGTTTAAAAATTATCTGTAATGTGGCACAAAAAAAAAAAAAAAAGATTTGTGTGGGTTTTTCAGAGGTCACCGATGTGTTTCATTCAAAAATGACATTGATGTGCCACTGCCATGGTGAAGGTATGGTTAAGTACAGGCAACTAAAATGACTTGATTTAAGTTATAGAAGATTGCCTCTGTAAATCAGCAGTGGGTTTTTCTTCTCATTTTCATGCTCTTGACCAATTCTTTATTTATGCATTTTATTTCCCTCAATATATCTGAGAATTGTGAAACCCACATTCTTTGGTTTCTTGTTGCTGCAACTGGGGATTTGTCAGTTGTGCAAAAAGCAGCTTTCAGTTATACTGTATAATGGATTTATTTTTTCACATAATCGTCTGACTCCAGCAGAATCATTCCCTCGTCTTCTTCTATGAATGTTGTAACACAATTTGAAGACCTTGCAAAGAATGTTACGGTTGGGACAGCTGTTAAAGATACCCTATGACTGTTGTGTAATCTAAATCTCTGTGTATCACACAATGCTCAGTTAGCACAGCAGGTGAGAGCGTGCTGCCTCTCCTGTTAAAACAAACAGTGTGAAGCAACCACAGCTTATGCTGTTGAATTTCTGATCTCAATGGGATTTGTTTTCAAAGATTCTTTGAATAAATGTTACTAAAATAAATTCAAACTCTGTCCATGAATTGCTGATTTCTTCACAAACAGTGAATAATACAGATAATAATAAGATAATACAGATAATACAGTGACCTTTCTTGTATTGACTTTAAGAAAGAAAATGGTGGCTGATTAGTTCAACATTTGTCACATCGTCTTGCAATGGGAAGTGACTGCAAGCCTGGAGAAGCCTGTAATGAGTATTCATATAAGTGGTGGCACTTGGATACACCGGCTAATTTTAATTTTCTGGGGATTATTTAGGGGATTATTAAGGCTTGAGTAGTTTGATGGGGTTTTTTTGTTGTTGTTTTTTTTTGGTGTGTGCACACTCAGCCAAAGTGGTTCCTGTTTGCTCGTCCCAGTTCAACTGTACCAGTCTTAGTCTGCACTCCTTTGCACAAATTTGGATCATCTGGCTTCACTAACTGACAAAGTTGGCAATGAGCATAAAGCTGAATTTAAAGCTTTAAATAGCTCTCCAGACACATTTTGCTGACAACACAGATGCTACATCAACATTTTCCTACAGTCTACGGACACTTGCTATGTTTCATCAAATACATACAGTCAAAATATGCTACATTTTGTACAGTGGACAGTCAACCCAGTTGTGGATCACTAAGTGGATACCATGTTCATTCACACGCCACAGACACATGGTGTATTTCATTGAATGAACCTCTTTTGCATTTCTTATTAGACTTCACACATGTTGAAAATGCTGCAGGCCCTATAAAAAAAATCACTGACTTTCACTGTCCTCAAATAACTTGTAATTTATAAGTTGTAAATCAATATAATAATTGGGGTTTATTACAGGATTTGTGATTAATTCAAACTTTAAACATTTGCAAGATCTTTTTAAAGGGTAAAGCTTATGCACGGAAAAGCGACTGACATGTAAAGCTCAAATAAGAGAACTGATCTATTTTTCTCTGAAAACAAAAGATACGAAGCGACTCATCTTAAAAGCTGACAGACACAGTACTGTGGTTTGTGTCAAATGATAGCAGCAGACTGTCACACCCAGTTTGTCCAGGATTTTGGTGGCTTCACCGTGTCAGCATCAGACTTTCATGTGACTAGCATCTGAGAGTTCCAGATAAAGGAGCATGTCAACTAAAAGAAGGTAAAAAGAAAACAAGTGCAGCTGATATCTTCACCCTCCAAAACTAGCAACCTATAAAAAAAAAAAAAACTGACATCAATCAGACTTTAGAATATGTGGTCTACAGACTGATAATACATCACGAAATACAAATGCCACAACAACAAAAACAACAGAATTCCTCTAGGGCCACAACCAAAATCCTCTACAAAGAAGTTTATCTCTGCTAGCTGCTCTAGGTCAGGTTCATGAAAAACTTGCGATGACTCTTGATCCCTTGGATCACTTGGTTCTTCCAGCAATCAAATAAGGATTTACAGTAAAAAAAAAAACAAAAACAAAGATACGATTGGATATCATCCCATGAAAAAAAGAATGTCCTTCAAAAAGGTTTTTCAAAGACCCTCATTACCCATAATGCTAAGCTTTTTCTCTCCTTTCACAGAGTACTTGTGCTTTGTAATATCCTCTGGTCGTTTTTGCTGTTGCCATGTGTCGAAACTGTTGTTCAGAGCAATTCATCAGGTTGTTAACGTGAAAGCAAACCTTACAACTTGGCAGGTTAGAGCTGGTTTGAAAACTTTGAGTCACAAGAGTCATTTAAGTAGCTCCTGTGTGCAAAGTAACAATGTTGTAAGTTTTTTTTCCAGTTCGATTCTATACCATGTCAGCCATGGATCGATAAACCAAAATTATATTGTTTTAGTTTTCACTCATTTGGTGCTGGCAAGTCAGTTTCCAGATGACAAATCAGCTGGTCGAGGTGTTCACTCCGGTTTAAGACGCTGCTGAAAGGGGACTTTCGTCTGTTGAAGCCATTTTCTAGTTGGAGCAAGTATTGATGTTCTTGCCGTCAGCAGCATCCTCCACCAGTGCTAAGTGATAATCAGTGGAGAGCGTGAAGTGGGACACGCAGCCCACCAAGCCTCCATTGTACTGCCTGTTTGTGTGAAGAGCTATCTCTTTCATGCCACCTTCAGGAGAGAGAGAGCACAGAGAAAACAGACATTGAAGGAAGAGAATATAGAGATCTAGAAATCACAATTACTTGTTTGACTTGAAGCATTTTACTAGATTGTGAGTTGTGAGCTCCACCTACCAACATATAAAGGCCCGTTGATATTGAGCTGCCTCATCTTGCCAGGTGACCTGCCTGTCTTTGCTCCATAGTCATCCACTGTCAGCTTCCCTGACTGGCCGTCCCTGAAGACAGAAGTGATAATAGTAAACTTATTCGTAAACCTGAGAAACAGGGCAAAGACTGTAATGTAATTCTTGGCACAGCACCTTACATTGACCGTGATGACCCCTTTTTGCATCAACGAAGTAATTATAGAAAATAAATTTATCCTTGGATTTTCCAATTTCCACATGGATTGCTTCTGAATGTCCTGCACAGAAAAAGGTATGTCCTCTTCTTGAAGCTCCGCTAATCATAAATTTTATATTAACCAATCAAATGACTATGTGTTCCTCATAGGGATGAAACCACAGACAATTATCACCTGATTCTGCAGTTTCCTTGAGCTCTGCGGGGTGGTTGTAATGTTAATGTTTTGGGTTTTTCCTCACTTCTCTAATAACTCTATATAAATGCTAATATTCCTCCATGTGTCTGCAAGATGTGTGAATAGCTATATGTTAATAAATCATAGTATGTTAGTGTTGAGTTTAGAGCTTGTTCTGCTGCCATCAAGTGGACAAGGAAATCAACCGGTGCAGCTTTAATGTCTGACGTGTAAAGACAAGTGAAGGCAAAACATAGCCACAGATGTGTTGTAATCATCACAGCAGACATTATTTGACAGGATTTCTTAATAAAAAGATGAATTCTTTTTAAAGCTTACCTCACAGCTTTGACTCTGTGCCACTTTCCATCACTAAAGGTCCCGTTGACAACAATGTTAGCTGCACCACTGCCCAGATTATAACTAGAACATGGAAACATATAGAAGGAGTTTAGCTAGCTACACAGGGTGCAGTGGGTTCACATTTGTATGGTACTGCCCAGATAAATCTTGGCTCTTTTCCAGGTAACAGTCCTGCCTCATACTTTGGGGTTTTTTTTTTTGTTTTTTTTTTTTAGCAGTGCTGAGCTCTCCCTTTTCTTCCTGACTCCTGTTTCGTCAAATGGACAGAGAACAAAGTGGTACATAGAATTTGAACTTAGACTAAAAAAGTTTTTGTTCTTTTTTATAACGTAGATATATTTTATAAAGAGTGAGTAGATATTAGTCGTGCATTTTACACAAACAAATACCTGAAGATTAGTGCACCATCTTGAAGCCCCATGGACAGGAAGTCACTGTTGGGTCTCATTGGACTGTCTCCTCGCCATAGCAACAAGCCATCTTTGGCTGTGCTCTTAAAACGCATGAAAAGGTTGGTCCTGGACCCAGAAACCCTGAAAAAATAAATAAAGTTTACAAGTGTTGTTTGCTGTGACAGTGAGAAACACCACTCATAGTTCTTTCACCAAATAATTAGTATGTACAGACTAACTATGAAAGTTCAAGGGGCCTTTAGGATATAAAATGAGGAACTGTAACTGAACATATCAACAGTAAAAGACACCAAAAACCCCTTGCATGCTTATTTCATACACGTTTCTCAACCAACCTTTTAAGGATATCGCTGTTGTCGTAGTTCAGGTAACTTCGCCCAATGAACTGTGGGATCTCAATGGCTTCAGTCACAGCTGTGCAGAGGAAACACTGTGTTTACTTCATATCACCACAAGGTGGCAGCATCATCATGTATCTACTGGTTGAAGCTAAAGGGGAACGCTAAAACTGATACTCTGAGGATACAGGAATGTTGGGAGGGAATATGTGTATTTTAATATCCGTTTGGAATTCATACAAGAAAACTTACTGTTCAAACAGTAATTCCCACACTCTGTTCAGTGAAAGCATTAGAAAAAAACAGAGAAGGCATAGATAGGCTTAAGGGATTATAATGTCCAGTCCATTATTCTATATGACATTACATGATAACAGAGGAAAAAGATTTAATCCATGAGAAGAGGAAAGATCATATCACGTGGGTAAAGCCATGTATTATACACTCACAGAAACAGTGCCATCATTAAAATTATTAGTAAGTTAATGGCAGCATCCGTTTTTTTTCTTTAATAAATCAGCAACTTGTTGAGGCTGCCATGTGTATCAGTGCATTTGTTTTTTACTTTACAAAAGATGGAAATGCCAAAAACAGATATATATTTATTCCTACTCCTCAAAACACATGGCACCAGCTTCAAAACATCTCTTCTGACAAGCATTGTGTAAACCACACACTGCTGTCAGTGATATGTATCATCTAATTTGATGCCTGATGTTCTCTAATCACAATACAACAAACTATGAAATGTTCTGCTACTATTGACTCCCATCAAACATTGGGACGTGCTGGTAATTGTTTGAACTCCACCAGAAAACCAATCACTGAATTGCCCCCATTCTATAATTTCGATGATCAATCAATAAATGTGTCTACTGACTTAATAACATGCATAAAATTCATATAGGAAAAATAGAAGTGCTGAGTAGTGCAACTGACCTTTCTGGCAGTGCCTGCCATCATACCCTAGGGGGCAGTCACACTCATATCCATCCCACTTTGGCCTGCAGGTCCCTCCATTGGCACAGGGACTTTCCACACATGGGTGTGCTGAGTTTGCAACATTGACACCACCAGCGGAGCCAGTTGTTATTGGGATGGTGCGGTCATTGAGAACCAGCTGGGGAGGTGAGAAGAAAACAGACGGAGAGAAGGAAAATGAAGATGAAGCAAGAAAAGGTGTAAAACTCTTGTCATAGTGGTCGGCTTTGTGGCTGGTGAGATTATATATTTAAATACAGTGACAACTGTCAGACTTCTGGACCCCACTTTATATATATAGCCATACCTTCTGTATAATTCCAGTAAAGGGCTTTATTACACCTGCCGTCCTCTTGGTTTTATCATATTCTGGTACTCCTCCAATATAGAGAGGTGAACTGCAGTTGATCTGAGTGAAAGCTCCCTGCAGAAAAAGATTAGTTATGTCAACCTTTCATGAATAAATCTAGTTATACCATATAAATGAATATGTTCATGAATATTAACATCACTCGGGCCTGCTTCGCTTATAAAATACTTGATACTTCATATGTCTGACCAGGTATAGTATAATTTCCTCTCCTCATGCACTTTGCACTTACATCAAGTTTACTCATGGAAGATGCTGGAATATTAAATCACATACAGAAGTTGGCATGTTACCTGTATTTGTTATACAAACAGTTTTTTGTTATGTGTCATAAGTATGTCATGTTTAATGAGCCAGGTAATGTTAAACAGCCAAATTTCACGTCTCCATAAAACAAAAAAATGAAGTTATTTTGTAGTTAGAGAACCAAACCTGGGTTAAAAAAGACCATTCACTGTCACACATTTAAAATGTGTCAATGCGCCGCCCATGTTGCTTTGCTTCTGCTGAAAGTGTGCCTAAACATCAGAACTTAATGAAGTGTGTGTGAATGCTCTGTTGCTGAGTTTATTATAAGGTTTTTCTGCCCTCTTGTGGTCAAAAATAACAAACCAGCTTTACGCAAGACACATCGAAGGAAAATACCTCAGCAATTCCCTCCATTGGCCTCTGGCTGTCCACCTGCAGGATACCGCTCTTTGCTGTGCGGGACACCCTCAGCTCGTGCCAAGTGTCCAGACTGATCTGCTCCTCACTCCTGTTGCACAGATCATCACATTTAGCATCAAGTTAGAAAATCTAAATTGAAGATGAAAATAAAAGAGACATACTAGAATAAGAGCGGATCTATCCAGTACCTTATGACTGATCCTCCGGAGCCGCAGTCAAATCTGAACTCTACATATCTGTCCACCAGGTTTATAGCCAGGAAGTCTCCACTGCCTGCATCATCACTGTACAGCAGCATCCCGTCGGGCATCGATGGCCGAAACGTCAGCTCAAACTCCATGAAGGACAGATAACTCTGAGAGGACTGAGGCCAGGGGAGGACAGCGTACGAAAACACTGTCTCATTGAAGAGTGGTGAGGACAGTGAGAAACCTGAGGAGTTTGAGAGAAGATAAGAGAAAAGAACAGGCGGAAGGAAAGAAAAAGGATTTGGGCCATGGGGGAAGAAGAGGCGTTGAGCATTAAAATGATTAAAAGTGAAGGGGAGGAAAAGGAAGAAGTCGGTGAGAACAGAAGAAATGGGAAGAAAGGACATGTGGAGGAGGAAAAGAAAGTGGTAGGTTGTATTGTCTGAAAGCTGGTCTGACATGCAATCAATCCCTCTGCCTCTATATTAGAAATAATAATCCTCATCTCAACCAATTTTCTTCATATTGCACTCAACCGTTCAGTAATTACCTTAAAAGGTGTGTGTGACAGTCTATGACAGCCGTCGAGTAAGAACAAACCTCAAAGAGACTTTCTGCTTTTGCAGAGGCACAAAACTCCTCTTATAGACAAGACAAGTGTCTGTTATTTGTGTGGGTGTGAGAAAATACAGTTGACTCACTCTCTTCGCAAAGTGCTCCCCTGAAGCCGAGTGGGCACAGGCAGATGTAGCCGTCAGCACGGTTTGCAAAACAGACACCGCCATTGGCACAGCTGACCAGGTCACACACAGTGTCGCTGCACTCACCTGGTACAGAGTGGCAAGGAGATATGAGCGGATTAGGCCAGACTCAGCACATGTATCTACACACATAACAACTACTAAAACAAATACAGTTTCAGCGGTTGCATTATTTCCAACTTTCATGTCACACAATAAGTAAAAAGGGAATTTTAAGATGGAAAGTGTTTTATATTTTTACTGCTTTCATGAAATCATGTTTTACAAAATCCTGTGGGAGCCATAATTTCCCAAACATTTCTACTTCCCGATTCAGTGAAAAAAATCTATGTATATCTGCCAAAATCTAATTATCAAAAACAATTTTTTCTGTCATTGTGTCAGAGAATGATCTAAAGTGGTGAACAATTTAGATATAATAAGCAGATATTTTCTCTGTTCTTACATTAACATGTTTGTGTGTCTCTATGGTTGCAGCTTTAACCAAAGGTTGAACGCTGAATCATGATACGCTCTCAGATTGTGCAATGAATAAACAAACTCATTCAAATTCAAATAAAGCTGTCTAACTTTATTACAATTATTTATGTATGAAGCCCAAAATAAGTTAGTTTAGACTCTAAATCTGCCTCTAAACTACTCAACGGAGAGGAGAACCAGTGTATTATGAGTAATGTGGAAAGAACTCATTTCACAAACTCACATGTGTACTGTATGCTTCCTCACCTATATCAGCTCCACTCAGAGCTCTGCCCAGAGGCCAGGGTCTGATATCTGTGGCTTTGTTGTTGATGATCAGACTCTGAATGCAGCCAACAAAACCACGATTTGCCCCCGTCGCCCTGACCAGCCAATAAGCACTCGGGGATCCCCCCACATACAGCGGCGAGCGGAAGGTGATCTTTGTGTACTGTCCCTGAGACATCGAGGGTGAAGAAAACATCCCTTATTACTATGAACACACACGGTACTTTAATCCAATGTTATTAATAATGGACGACACATCCTTTGTTAATAATAAACACATGCTGAAGCTCTGTATGTCTTATTGTTACCTGTGAGCGTCCAGATATAGGGGTGTCGTTGTCCATACGGAGCCAGCCGCTCATGCCGTCTCTGAAGACAGTTACTGTGTGCCACTGACCAAGAACTACACGACTCTCGCTAACTATCTGAGCTGCTCCTGTACCACAGTTAAACCTGTAGAGACAAAGATGAAACGGGTAATTATTATGTATATATTCATGAAGAATATGCTGTAAACAGCTCAAATGATGAGCATCCTTGAACCCCTAAATTTCCCCTTAATTTTTTCCTGTTAGAAAGTGCTGTTTATCCCCGTTTCCAGGCTTTGTGCTATGCTAAGCTAACTGACCATTGCTGTACCTTCGTATTGGAGAGACTGAGAATGTATTTCCAAAAATGCTTAACTTTTGGCACACTGTATCATATGTATATTCTGTATGTGCTTATTGCAACAGCTCACTGAAGATGTATAGTGCTTAAAATGAGTAAAATATATTTTAGGTGCAATGTTTTTATAGTTAAATCACATAGAAATGCATCATTAAATCTTACATCAGTCATGAGTTTTATATTTATATTTGTTTTTTTGTTTCCTTTTAATGAATAATTGCTAGCAGTATTCCTGAAACTGTTTTCTTAAAAACCTTTATTTTACATCTGTTTTTTTTTCGACCAACATTATGTAAAAGCTAACATTACATCGAAATGTAGTTTGTATTTCTTATTTAGCCTTTGATGTGTGGTTGCGTTAAATTCTTTCTTAACCCATAAGTGATACACTGGATATGCAAAATGCGAGTCACTCTTCCTCACCTGTAGTGCAGCTTGCCTCGCACCAGAGCCAAAGAGGTAAAGTCTCCACGGCCGTGTTCGTTCTCCCCACAGTATAGCAGCAAGCCATCCTCAGAGTCTGCCTGCACCAGAGAGAAACTGTTTCAAATACGTTTTGTCGGGACAAAAACACAAAGGTGTAAAAACAGCTCACTCCCTCACCTTGAACTCCAAAGTGATCTGAAAGGTCTGGTAAGAGTTTTTCAAGGGTTCTAAAGTCATGTGAGAGTAGCCGTAGAACCTGGGAAAGTTCACCGATACCACTGAAGAGGAACAAAGGATAAAATCATGATAAATTCATGATAAAAGAGCTGGGTGGGAATAGCTGCAAAAAGTAAGGCAGACAACGTATTACGCTTCTCTCACCCTCGGAGCAAGTGTCCCCTCTTCTTCCGAGGTTACAGTGGCAACGTGAACCTCCACTGTCATAATCACTGAGACAGAAGCTGTCGGGGGGACACACAGTATCATCGCAGGTCAGGTCATACATGCGAGGTATGTCACCTTTCCAGGGTGACATGGTTGGGGTGGTAGTGGTGGTGGGCACAGTGATGCTGGGGTGGATCCAAACAGGAAAAAAGAGAAAGAAGTTTAGTTTTCAGTCTTCTGAGAAAACACGATTTTTACAGTGCAAATCGGGCATTAGGTAGTCTTCAATGCATTTATTGTATTGTTCTGTCCTCAGGTTTGTCTAAATGTTACATTTGCTTTTTCCTCATAGATACTCTTCCCTCTGTGCTTTAGGGAAAGAAACAACCAGGATAAAAAAAGTATTGAATATTACTTATTAAGTATAGTCAGGCCAGTGTATATTTTCTCCAGTTAAAGCTGTACATTACATACAACCAGTGACAGCTTAAATTGATGTGACATTTCAGTGCACTGCTCCAATCAACATCTTAAATCATATAATAAAGTGGAAGAGCATGAAAAAAGCAAACTGTAGCTGGCTTTTAGGAGCAGAAAGCCAGGAGAGACAACAACCTAGCAATCAAAGAGCAAGAGGAACATCAATAAGAACAGATATTTTATTGAGATAAAAAAAAACCTTCCTGATACCCCTGTTTTTTTTTTTCTTCATAGGAAAAAAACATGTTAATGATCAGCTTTGCCATTAAGAGAGAGGCTGTTACCTTCTCCACTAACTAATAAACAGCACTGACATCTTTTCAATCAAAAACATCGCAACAACATCAGTGAAAACAGAAACCACCGTAGGCCAGGGCTCCTAAGGTACATCATACCTGGTAGTGGTAAGTGGGGCAGTAGTTGTGGTGTCAGGATTGGTACTGGGCTCTGAAGTGGTGGGGAAGACCAGATCTGAGAAGTCTGGGAAGATGGACGAGCTGGGGGTGGTGGTGGTGGTGGAAACTGGTGGGACAGTGACATTGGGAGGAGCGATGGTGTTCATACGGTAAACAACGTTCCGACCAGACGGTGGACCAGAACGTGAACGGAGCTGGGATTTCCTGTTGTCCTGACTGATACCTGGGAATGGCTTCAACTAGGAAGCAGACGAGTAAAGAAATAACAGAAAGGAGGGATAGAGAATTATTTTAGAGTGTCACAGGTTAACGCACAATTGCCATCACTTCTTTTTACCATGTGTACCATGTGTTCAGCAGCTAATTTCACCTCTATCTATAATCTAATTTGATTTAAGAGTCTGAATAAACTCAAAATGAAATTTCAATTATCACTATCCAACTCTGTCATGTAAAAACCCACCTCTTCAATAAAGATATCATAATCGGAGTCATCAATGTCAAAGCCATCATCATCTTTGATCCCGGAGTCTGTGATGTAACGCCCATAATCCCCACTGCCAACTTCTGATGCGCCTGTTAAGGATGTCGATGAGGATTATTCCATGTCTGTTATTAAATGCTGTGAAAGGACTTAAATGGTGACAGCAGTGAAATGAAGGGAAACACACATGTCCACAAATACAAGTCATGAGTTGAACACAGTAAATGGAGGTCAGAGAATCACATGATTAGAGAACAAGAAGTAAGGGAGTGACACTGCAAACATACAGTAAAGTCCAAATTTACTTCATGTTGTTTCTGTAGCAGGAAAATTCATGAAAATTCAAGACTGTGAAAACAGGTGTTCCGTTTGCTTGTATTCACAGCGTCCATTGAAAACCTGTAAATATATCTATTATCAATAATTATGTCCTATTTTTCCTCTTCTTCTTCTCCTTTACTGTATCATTCTTTTTTAAGTGGCAGGCTGGTGCTCATTAAAACCAATCCCTCTTACTCAGTGTTGAAATGAGATTTTATACAGATACTACATGACCACCACTGGTGCAGGTTTGGACTTTTCCTCCATTTGCAGTATCACCATCATGTGCCACAATGATATTTCAGTCACAGCAAAGTAACATGACAATGAACATGACCTAAACAACAAACAATAACGACTGGTTCACTGAAGATGTTGAAGAACGATGGCTCTTTCTATAATGACTGATCATGTTGTGGAAAATGTGACCATATTTCACTGATGATGATGATTATGATGATGATGATGATGATGATAGACATGAGTATACAGCTGCTGTTGGCCGACTGGGTCTACCTGTTAGCCTGTACCCCTGCTGCTGCACCACGTACTGAAAGGTGTCTCCTCGATACAAAACAGTGCCATAGGGAGCTCATAATGTGCAAAGACAAAGTCAGACAGTGAGTACAGTGAGCGTGGTTTAAAACCACTGCCAAAAATCATCATCAACATTAATTAGTTAGTAATTCTTTTTTTTTTTTTTAACCTAATCAACCAATCTGATAAAGGTAGGTTAGCTAATTGAAAGCCCAAAGAGCTGCTATAACCCTGTCCTCAATAACTAAATGTGTTGTTCCACACAGTGTTGGGGAAGCTACTTTGAAAGCACACTGTAGCTTTGTAAGCGACCAGTTGAACTGCAGCAAAGCTACCCTAGAATTAAATCTAGTTTAACTAATCAAAGCTACTTAGAAAACGTAGTTCAAACTACTTTGTAAAAAAAATAATGAAATTGACAAAGAACATGTGATAAGAAATGATAACAAAATATAATACAAAAAAGTTACATGATGGCAAAAAATGCCATTCAGCTGAGTTTATTGCAAAAAGTGCCTTATTGTTCACAGGTCATACATCAACCAAAAAAATAAATACCCAACTACTTATGGGAAAGTCAAAGGAATGTCACTTTGGTTTTGTATACAATAGCTGCCGGAGTATGGCCATGAGGATTCAGGCTGAGATTTGGGAGGTTTATCCATGATGATGTTGTCACTGTGTGGCAACGCCTGACCTTGGCTTCTAAACACGCACTACACAAAAGGTCAAGTGTGGAGGTGACTGCCTGACAAATGCATTATCTGGGCTGCCTTCACAGTGGTTGGGGCTGGTCACAGGGGGTTCAGTTATAGTAGAGTAGAGAATAATCAAAATAGTTTTTTGTTACTACACAAAAATGGCAAAAAAAAGTATCAATCACTATGAATCACTGAATCATGAATCTATGAACTTTTGAAAAATGTAGTTAAACTATTAGTTCAATTACAAGAAGTTTACTAGTCCCCAACACTGGTTACACACATTTACACACATACATTTAGTGCATATGTGTTGGACAATACTGTATAGTAAGCCCTATGTTAAATTTACTTTTTAAAAACACACTATACATTTTTGTATATTTTATATCATACTTTATTCAGTTATACTGAGTGTATTATTACTAGTCTCTAAAGTTGAAAAAACAATAGAGTGCATGTTCAATATAACACCTCCCTTCCCATCCACGCTACACTGAGGAAGATTAATCTTAGCTTACATAACAGCATCCCCTCCCTTTTCTCTCCTTGCCATTCCACCTCCCCATCTATCTGCATTGTACAGTATCATTCCCCATGTAGTGTTGTGGAGTGATATTAGACAACATATACGAATAAAATAAAATTTCATTTGTCAAACATCTCATGGAAACTTGACTTTTAAGCTTGAATAGATGCCAAGATTTAAAGTGCTAATTTGCACAGCCTAATAACATTAAGTCCTGAATACTGAGTGCTGGCATACATGGAGGGGGGGATGCCCAAAAAGCCCTCAGAAAACTAATCTGCTGTTGTGTAACAATCCCCCTCAATCCATACCACCCTCTTTCTAACCACTATGAACACACACACACACACACACACACACACACACACACACACACACACACAATGCACCGCTGCTTGAGTGAACAGCGGGGGTGGGCTTGACTGACTGACATACTTTTCTTGTCGCTCTCTCAGTGATAGCTTGTGTGTGTGTGTGTGTGTGTGTGTGTCTGTGTGTCTGTGTGTGTGTGTGTGTCCATCAGGGTGTGGACGGGCAGAGAAGGGGTCTGGCATTCCGTCCTTAATCCTGTCTGATGAGACTCGGACGTAACCCGCTTTCATCCCCTGCTGAGAAACCACGCTTCTCTATCTCTTCGTTTCTGTCCGTCTGTCTCTGTGTCTCTCTGACCGACTCGATTTATCTTGTTTCATGGAACTTTCGTTGACATTATTCTTAACTTCTAATATTATCTCTCTCCCGTCCATCCTTCTAGCTTTGTCTTTGTCTCTGTGCAGTCTAGCAGGACTGAAGGGGCTTAGTTCAATCAGAGCAGTTTACAACAGTGTGACAGCTAACATAGCGTGTGAAGCGGGGTGGCCTGTGTGTACTGTGACTACAAGGCAGTTTAATTTTAATAATCATACATACATACATTATGCCCACTAATCTGTAGGTAAACTACTTGTCATGGTCCTTTAATCCATTAATACATTGCTATAACTGCATGTTTTTGTATTTGTGTATGTCTCCCACACACCTGTGTGAATGCGTACGTGTTTGTGTGCTTTAATATCAATCACCACCCTCCCCCACACACCACCAGCAGCCGACTACATCAAAAATAATAAAGTAAATGACTCTGTTGCTCTATATCTCCACCATCCAGGGCTACAGTCAGAAAACCCCACTGACACACTGACAGGTGCTGTCCTACATTCAAGCAAATGCTGAAAGAGGCAAACTGTCTAGTACCATTTATTTCATTGATTTTTCACATGATGATTTGAGGGGGTTTTGTGAGCCTTTCAAATACCAAAAAAACACAAATTAATGCTAAATTGTAAGAAATTTGGAAAATTTATATTCAAAATTGCAAGATTTCTCATTATATTATGGGATTCCCTGTGATGACACTTTAATAACAGCAAAAATATGCTTCAGCTCTAAACCAAATATAATCAGCTTCATATGTTAACTTAGACTGGAAGGTGGGAGATAAAATATGCTGAAAAAATAAAGTAAAGCACATTATGCAGTACAGGATGAAGTTCTACTCATCTTCAATTATGTTCTCTTTAATTATGCCTCTACTCTAACCGAGAGAATTCCAGAGAAACTTTGAGTTTCAAAAACGTATCATTGCTTCACACTGCGGGGAGAAGACAACTGTCTCCACAGTAACACTGGGGTTTATATAGTGTGGTTGAACATGGTAAATTTTTTATTGTGAGGGTAACTTTGGCCATGCAAAAATGAGCATGGTGTGTTTAGTTCTGTGTGGGTGTAATGTTGAAACTAAACTGAAATTGAGTTTGTTTTTGAAATGTGGTTGAAACCACGGTAACGAGAGAGCTGGGACTAAGATCTGATGGATGTAACATCACAGCACATTTTGCTCAGAGATAAACATTTGGCCTTACCAAGAGTGCGCACAGGGTTGTTGATGTGGCTGGGTGGGCTAACCCCGTGCACATTGACCGCCCGGACAACAAACTGGTACTCCGTTTCCGGTATTAACCCCTTCAAAACCATGGAGTTAGTCTCAATGGGCTCACGAATATACGTCCACTCCGTGTCCATTTCTGGCCTGAGAAAAAACAAGGACATGTATAAAGATACACAAACATAAACTGAATGATCTATTAAAGTTTGTTAAATAGTTTTGTTTTCTGATATTTCCACATCTGTGTGTGACATTTTACAAAACACTAGTGTTCTTTAGCTAATTTTTTGATTTTCTTTTTTTTTTACAAATAAATAAAAAATCATCATTCTCAAAACATCTTCAGTGTAATTGTTTTTTGTGAGGGATGTTTTCAAAATTCTGACCAGTCACTTCATTGTGCTCCTCCTGCTGTTCTATGTACCTGGAAATGAGCAGTGAAAATGACTGCCAAGAGAACAATTACTCACAATTGTAGCTCTGAATAATTCAAAGTCAGAAAAATATTGAATCACTTTTCAAACAAATCAAAAGGAGCAATTGATTGAGCGGTTTCTTTTTCATCATCTTACTAATTTCAAGCTGCTTGAAGCCTCAAAGTGTTATTTTATGCTTTAAACAGACATTGAAAAGTAAAGCAAAGAATAAAGTGATGATCTCCTGGACTTTATTTTTTTTGGCTATCATCTCCAGCTTCCATCTCAAACACTATGTTTGTGTGTTGATTTTGGGCGCCTGGAGCTACAGCTATCTGCTGAATAGAGTCATCTTCATCATCACTCAATGTCTCCCTTCAGTAAGACCTCTTTTGATGTAAGAGGAGAAAGATGTGCCTCTGACACAGCCCTTTTGTGTGGAAAATCCCTACTTCATGCAAAAAACAGGCACTGATTCACATCTACTCTCTCACAGTAAGTGACAGTCTCTCTGCCTCTGTCCCCCTCTCTCTTTGCTCAATCGCAGGGTGTTAACTTCACACCATGAAGGGCAACACTACTGTGTTTTAAAGCTTATTTCTTTTTATGTCTTTATAACTTTTTTCTTTTCTTATTTTCTTTTAAAAACAACTCTTATGGGGGCATTTTAAAATTCTATTTGCCTTTTTTATTTGTGTCTGGCAAATCACCAGAGGACTCTGGGCAAATTAGTTCTGACCTCAACTTCCTTGACATTGTAGCCAGAGGACTCGTCAAGACATTGGAAGTTCCTTTATGTGTGTGTGTGTGTGTGTGCATATACCATTGATGTGTGTGAGGCTGGACACAACTAGAGTATGAAGTTCATTCTTTCTCATGTCCCAACTGACCCTCATGTCAAAACACAAATGGTTACACTGAACAGACCAGCAAAGACCTCATGAAATTAACTATAAAAGAGAGCTGTGTATTCTGTAGTATTGCAATGTGACAGTGAGTCTGATTAATGAGGCTAAATATGCAGCTATCTACACCCATTAATGCACACAGATAAAGTTTGGAAAGAACTGCAATTTAAAACAGATTATCTCTTAATATGATGCTTCATTTGTGTTTTGTTTTATATTTTTCTGCCAATAAAACACTCCCACATATTTTGCCCAAAAAAAGTAAAATTCATTAGTCATTTTTTATAGCATAAAAGCTTCTCCTGTTCCAATTCCCCTTACACTGCCATTATAATGGTGTTTATGGTTAAAAAGCCTAATTTATATTCTGCGTTTGTTTGTCCCAGTTTCTATTCATTTTGCTTACACATAAGAGAATGTTCAAATTGAAAGAAGTACTTCTGGTTACGTCTTTCATATCTGTTTATCAAATTTGGAGCTATAGCCGGGAGTCAGTTAGCTTCGCTTAGCATAAAGATTGGGAGAGGAGGAACACAGGGCGCCTGGCTCACTCCAAAGGGTCAAAAACAGGCAAATAGCACCTCAAACTCTCACAAATTAACATATTATACCCTGTTAAACAACAGGTTTTGATTTTACAGGGAGACTCATGGTGACACTGCAGTCACTGAAGTCACTGCATGGCCAAGATATAGTTCCTGCATATAACTCCTCATAAAACCAGAATTTGTTGTTTTCACATTTCACTTTGTGTACAAGTTAAACAAGATAAAATATGACATGTTAATTACTGAGCTTTAAATATGCTGGTAGGTGGATTTTGTTGCTTTCAGACAGAGCAAAGCCAGACGTTTTTCCCCTGCTTCTCATCTTTATGCTAAGCTAAGCTAAGCTAAACTAGCTGTTGGCTACATATTTATTTTTATATGTGTATTTCCCCAAATCTCAATCTATTGCTTTAAAACACTGTTATTTCAATGGCTGCACCACTACATCTGAAACTACCTCTGAAACTTCTCTTAACTAAAGTTTGGGCTTGATCACTGCTTGGCACCATCAAGAGATCAGCGTGGTTATCAACGATACATGGAGGCAGTGTTCTGGGAAAAAGCTCTCTGAATTGTCCAATAACAAATGGCTTATCAATAAAGAGAATGAACAGGAAGGTGATTGGACACAGTCATTGATGGAACAAGGCTTTTCACTCCATGACATGACCACTTCAAGTTGCCCTTTACCTGATGAGCTGGTTTGATAGTTTGTATGTGGGTGACCTGTGTGTTTTTGAGTGGCTGTGCTCCAATGTACGTCCCTGTGATTGTGTGTGTTGTGTGCTGACAGCAACACGGTGCTGGTGAGATCTTTATAAATTTCATAAACGTGAAGCTTCATCAATTACTTTTCTGAAGGTTGATCAATCATTTATGACTGACCTGATGTAAGCCACCAGGAAGTGAAGGACAGGTGCGCTACCCTCGCTCTCTCCTTGCTGCCATGACAACGCCAGCTCTGTGTCAGATACAGCCATGACAACAGGCTGAGTGGGGGGCGATGGGGGCATGCACATTTCTGATGGCAGAGAGCGAAATTGAATTTAGTGAGTTATTAACAATACTACAGTAGAAATAATAGCATCAGCTTTAAAATGGATTCCAACTCACATATTCTTACCATGTGAGGCGGTGCTGATGTCTCTGGGCATGCTGGGCCTACCCTCCCCTGCCCAGCCATAAGCTCCAACACTGACTCTGTACTTAGTGTTCACCTTTAGGTTACCAATGTCCACATCCTAGAAGACCATTTATATGGAGGAATTGGTATAGAGATACAGATAGATAAGGAAAGATAAGCAAGAGCACATCAGCAAGGACGGTCAGAGGGAGAGAAGAGAAAACAGGAAAAAGACAGGAGGCAATGCGAAAAAGAAAATTACTGGAAGTGGACATTGTCAAATCTAGCTATAAATGTCAACTGCGATAAGATAAAGCAGGTACAGGGTCTAAATCATTAAAAAAAAGACTAGAAGATACTTACAAAGCTTGCTTGTCCATCAAATTGCCCCTTTGAGAAAATAAGAGCAGAGGTGTCCATAAATATTTGAGTATCACAGCACTGACAAAGTTCAGGCACATTTCATTGTACTGAGTACTGTAGTTTTAGGTTTTTCATAGAAAGTGAGAAAGGAAGGTCATTGTCACCAAAAAATAATATAAATACTCACCAAATATTAAAAGTGAAAACAAAACTAAATAGTTTTAGGCAGAGCAGGTAGTTTTTAAACATATATTACTTACGTAGTGCATTTGCACAGGACTATTACACATTTGCTGCTCTAGTTTTAAAGCAGTAGGTGGGTGCATATGGGATAAACTTTAATTGAACTTCAGTGATTGTTTTCACCATAATGAAGCAACATGTCACCCAGTGCAACAGTTTTTTGTGGTTTTAATGGTTTTTTGTGGAGCTGTGTGGCACAGAGGAATAAAATCAGGCTTCGGATACGAAGACACTAGTTGTTAGTAGGATCAATTCACTCTTTGTTTTAGTCTTTTCATGGCATTTGTTGACAATAGGAAAAATGTATATCACCAACCTCACCTTCTAAATGTTTTGTTTTTACTTATAGCTAAGGATGTTCATTACTTATTTGAAAGTGATGAACAGGAACAGGTTAAAAGTCTCTGTACACTCACAGTGGTCAGCATGTCCAGGCTGAGAGGCACCTCCATCAAAGATGCTGTACCCACTGGATGACCATTCCTCATCTCTGTATAGAAGACCTGAAAAACATCCACACAGTCAAAGACAAAGACTCATACAAACACATACTGTATGAGAAAAAGTATCTTTCTGTTCCAGTAAAATCAAGCCTATTTTGGTAGTGTTTGATTTAGCTAACATTCATAAATGTCACATCTGTTGTGTTGGATCAGAGCACCATTTTTTTTTTAACCTTTAAGCACCTACACTATCAAGACATGGCAGTGACAACATAAACACTGCACCATACGGAGGAAATACTATGAAGAAACAGGATTATTTTATTATTCCAAAGTGACTGGCTAAATGAACACAAATCTGCGAGTCGTGGGGAAGCTAGGTAGCTGACTAATCCTCTTAGTGAGGACATATGGTCAAAAGCACAGCACACACAGTCATACTGATCCTCACTTTGTTAATGGTTAACTCAAAACAAACACTAGAAAGGAAGGAAGGAAGGAAGGAAGGAAGGAAGGAAGGAAGGAAGGAAGGAAGGAAGGAAGGAAGGAAGGAAATTGGGTTGTGGGATCATTCAAAAAATATAAAAAAAAATGAAACACTTGAGGGAACAAACAAAAAGTATGGTTGCTTAAAAGTTATGTCAGAATAAAAAAGGAAAGAGGACAGACTCAGTCCACTTTATGCCACAATAATACATAAAAACTAGAGTAAAAGCCTGCCATGCCATTGCATACTGCTAAATTTATGTCCATTATGTCTCTACCAAGTAAAACAAATACTGTCAGTACTTGAGTACATCTTGCCTGGGGTGGACACTAAATAAAGATTTGAGACAACATCTTTCAGAGCTGTATTGCCTCTGAAAAAGCATACATTTGGCAGTGAAAGGGTTCCATCAAAACACCAGAAATTTCAAAATATCAATCTAGCCCTCAAGGTCATTTTGGTGGACAGTGAGTTTGACAGGCACTTTAAAAGCAGAAAAAATATGGGGGTCCATCCATGTCAGTGGCTTGCAGAGAAAAATGGGCATGCAAAAAAAAGAGAGGAAATTTGATTTGTGACGTAGCTTAGAAGTTGTTTTTGTTTTTTGGGGGATTTTTCGCGAGTTGAAAACCTTTTAATGCATTTTGAAAAAGAGTTCTGAAAAGGAACATGTGGGGTTTGTGCCTTTTAGGTATGTGATACCTGGCAAGAAAGCCTTGAGACTGAAATGACTGCTGGTCAACAGGGTTATACTGCTAAACCCACCAGCCAAGGGCTACTGGATTGTAAACATCTTACCTAGACTAATAAAAAAATATGAAGTGCTGGAAGAAATTGAAAATAAATATATGTGCTCATAAGATAAAAACCCATATGTCATTGTTTTTATACAGTTTTATATAGGAAAATATCAAAGACAATCAATATTTATATCAAAAGTAAAGTTGAAATAGTCTTTTATTATTTAATGTAAAATCACAATTTGTGACTGTACCTTGTATCCAGTGATGGTGCTAACATGTCGCCGTGGCATCTTCCATCGTACACTGAAGGCTGTGCAGTTGATTGTCTCTAGCTGAATGTCTAATGGAGGACTCAAACGATCTGGTTTATACAAATACAAAGAAAGACATAACATTGCATGAATTGACATGAATCGATTGCTAATGTTGCTCCATGTCTGCTGGATGTTTAAATAGCTGTGTAGCTGACATGCTCACCATTTATAACATAGCATTGTCGTAGGTTTAATATAAAATACACACTTTTTGACCACACATTTATCCTATCCTTTCCATGTGAAGATTTCATTTTCAGAAACAAATTGAAAACAAATTTTTAGTTGTTAACATTGTTCAGAAAAAGTAAAGAAGTTGCACTTCCAAGAATTGCCTGCCTGGTCAGAAAAGCCTTGTCAATAGTTCCATGCAAAAACAAGTCTGTTGCAGTATCTTTCCATATAATCAATGATAGTCTGAACAAAACCTACACTGGATTTCACCTGAGTATATTTGAACGGTGGAAAAAAGGACCACTTGAGATGACATAACCTGTAGTTTGACATGCTGGCTTATAATATCAACTGACGCTTACTTCAGATGTCATTATTTTCACGGCCTGAGTTATTAAATCCAAGGTACTTCTGTGGCACTACAGGGGATTGTGATTTCACTTCCAGTGTTCAACCGTGGCCTGAAAATACTTCAGGAGGCTCTTATGGGAGCAAGAGAGAGAAATATCTATAGCTGTAGATCATCAGTGCTCCTGATGACCTACTGTATATGCATTACCAAGCTTTAATGGAGGAACATGAGCAGACAAGTGCCCTCAGAGCCTCATGGTCATACACTTTATGTCAAAATATTTGCACATAGTGGATGATTGCAACATCCAGATCAAAAGACTCCTTAAAATGCTTGATAATATACAGTAGCTGAACATGATACATTTTAAATTTTTAATGAATTTACTAAATTAAGAGTAGATTCTGATAGTACCTGAAAAAAGGTGTCTGCACAGTGCACAGGCAGTGATAGATTGAGATTGTTAGTAGTTTCTCTTTCTAGGATTTGCACTTAGTTGGGATTTAGTTCAAAATGTAAATATTAGCCATAATTGCCCTTTCTCTGTCTAAGTGATAAAAAGACAGACATCGCTGGTATAGACTGACATGAAGATCACACAAAAACTAAATATAGCAAAGCAGAACTCAGTAAATTGAAATCTCATGTAGCTACAACACTGCTCTTTTCCACTTTCCTTTTTCTCTCCTCTTTATTTCTTGTGACTCTTCACTTCCTATGCCGACCTCACTCCAGTCCTGTCCCCCTGACTCCTCTCCTGTTGGCATCTCCACTCCTTTCTCGTACCCTTCTCCCTGCTCTTCCATCCGAGCAGATAATGCAATATGTCAGCTGAATTCCCCGATCATCCATATCTCCCCAGGGGTGTGGCCCAGCGAATGTACGGGTGAGCTGAACTCACAGAATTAGAGCAGATAGAGAGTTGACTCTCTCAAATCATCATCTTTATGGCCATCAACATACAGCGGCTTACAGTGGTGTTTCAAGTGAAAGATAGGTCTGGGTACAAATTATAATACTCAGAGGGACTGGAATTAAACTGTTCTCTAATCTGTATGAATCCTGAAAATCTTAACATAAACCCCTGAAACTAATGGATTATGTTTGATCAGTATGACTAGATTAGGTATTGACCCTGGTCCTGTAGGTGCCTCCTCAGGTGGCCTCTTGAGTAGCTACCAAAGCTGTTCTTGTGCTGAGCTGGACACTTTTTTTGGAAATGATAAAAACAATTAATAATTGTTTTTTCTTAAATAGATCTGGAAAAATTAGTATGTTAAATTGTGATAACACAACCTTCCGAACCAGTTGGCAAGATGCCATTCAGAAATACTCTCTGACCAAATGATGGAACTGATATGTTACGAAGCTGTATGCTACATTAAGATGATAACTTATGAAATCAATGTTCACGCTTAACTTACTGTGATAATTATGTTTAAATCACATTGAAGACCAGTTAACACTATCAAATACTAAAAGTTGTGTTACTTCACCAAACTGCAGCAGCAAGTCTTTCTGAAGTCCACAGGTAGCAGGAGTGATATCCACAGGCTAAAGCTAACAGGCTAATAAGCACTGGTTCTGGTCCCTGAACCCTGAAGCTCTAAAACCGTCTCTTTACCTTCCTTTGGACAGCGACTCTGCTCAAGAGCTCGTATCAGCAGCCGTCGAGTCAGGTTTATACAGGTTTGTAGTACTGAAGCGCAGCGCACACAGCTACAGTAAGCCCTGATTGTAGCAGTCACCACCTGCGTTGATTAAAGCTAAACTTTGTCACACGGTACTGAGCTTGTTTTTGTCATGTCGGATCACTTTTCTTATCAAGCCTGGGTGCAAATTGTTTTCATTGTACACTGAAGATCCTGTTCAGTGAGGCCAATAAGTCCATAATCTTATGAAACAGTGCACTTTAGATAAAGCATAAAGCAACAGTTGTAGCATCTCATACAGTATCTTACACATTGGCCTTTTCCAAATGCACCAAACACATGTACTAGACCAGATTGGCAAATTGCCACAACTGATCATTTAGGATATCTGTAGAGGTGGGAAAATTTCAGGTTGAAGTATTGTCCAAATAAGAGCTCAACTACTATAGGAATTTTTTTTTTTTGTGTCAGTATTTGTATAATAGACAGTATATAGTATATCTACATATTTAAGATTTGAAACTATTCCATAATGCAAATAGTACACATCTTTTTTTTTTTAGATGTGACTTAGATATGTGCTGAGAGGGACATTTTGCATTTGAAAAGAAAAAGAATACTTTTCAGTACTCTCTGATGGACAAATTATGTAATGGAGCCAGTCTTTAAATGACCCAAAATGTATCTTTGTCATTTATATTTATATATATTCATTCCTGTCGGCTTCAAACAAGTAAATATAAAGCCGTTTTTAATCCATTATGGGGTGCAGGTTAAAACACTGAGCTTTTCATTTATGTTGAGATGTCAATGCTTCTGACACATTTATACAACTAGGGACAGAAAAAACAAACAGGTGCTCTCATTATACTTGCTCTCACTTGATCAACAATTATCCAATCTTAAATTCAGGTTTCTTCTTTCTGAACAAGCCACCTTCTCTATCACTCTGATTCTACATCTCCACTTTTCGAGTCAGTCATGTAGAAGTGCTGCTCTTTCCAGGTCTGAGTCATCCAAAAATGAATGAGCATGAAGACACATGCTGTTGTGCTCCTCTTCAGCATGAATTAGGAAATAATACATTAACACTGACAAAGGGAAAATTGTTTTCACATTTTCATTGTCTTTCACCAAATTAAGTTTCACGTACTGAGTGTGAGGGGATGGAAAAGATCAATTAAAATGCATGCATACTGCGACAAGGTAATAGCTTTAGATACACATTATAATAAGTGTAAAAAAAATAAAGCTACTGAATGGTTCTAAAAATAATTCAATAGGTTATTCTAACCAGGGAAAAAAGCTGTCAAAATCCTGAAAAGTGAGACCACTTTGAGGTGAGATGTCATTCAATTTTAACGCTTTCCAAATATAATTATTTTTGTTATTTAAAGGCTGACGTGATTCATCTGGACATCGATGCCTGTTGACACCCCCCCCCCCTTAGAATGAGACTTGAAAGACCTCAAAACAAACAACAAGTACAAATGTCACTGGAAGTCATGAGGACAGACCTACAGCCGTCCTCTGTATATGGCAGTCTCGACTGTGGAGTTTTCTGTGCTGACAGACAGATGTAATAGTCAGCTTGCTAAGGCCTGTGGGTCTGAGAGACTGAAGGAGTGGGGGAGAAACACAACAGACAGTCAGAGAGAGTGACAGCGAGAGAAAAAGGAAGTGATGGAAAGAGAGAAAGAGGGGGAAAAGGAACGAAACTGGGACAGAAAAAGTGTTCAGGGTGACAGGATAACAAAGAAAGACAGAGACAGGGAGAGAGACATTGACAGAGAGAGACACTGTGGAAATGACAAAATCAACAAGGATTTTTTGCCCAAAGAGGCAAAGAGCTAGAGCTGAATATTACTGTTATTTCTCCTTTTCTTTCAAAGATCTTTTAATTTTCACAGAAAATATATTTAAGCTACAGTTTTTGTTTTTTAATCAAGAAAACACAAATTTTCAACAATTCATATTCATGTCCCTTTTCTGCCTCAAATGTAATTTAAATTACAGTTTAGATAGATAAATGCAGTTCACTGGTTATTGTTCAAATGGAGCTAATGCTGCTGATCAGTGGGGTGTAACATGCAACATGTTGCACAGTGAGCTTTGATACAGACTAATCACTTTTATACTGTATGAGCAGGGATGTGTATAATGGAGATGACATTATGATGATGGTATGTTTTCCTAATGATGAGCACCCAGCAGCCATATTATTTTGCTTGAATCTTTTATTGCCATGAACCAAAGTTTAAGCACTTTACAAGTTTGAAGGTGTCACACAGATTGTTAATGTGAATTATTGCCGCTACGCTAATTCAAATGTGACCTGACAAAGTTTTAAAGCAGGCTTAAAGATACTTAATGTAATCAAATGAAAGAAAAGATGAGCACATACAAAGGTTTCCCTCATCCACATTCTCAATATATATATCTCAAATATATTAGTTATTATTATTATTTGTATTATTATTAATAATAATAATAATAATAATAATATTAAACCTTGTCATGCTTGTTTTGAGCTGATGAACTTACCAGATCTCCGAACATTTGATCTTCTTGCACAAAAGCAAACGCTGGCCGCGCATATTGCAAAGAGAAGTAAGTACAGGAGACTCCTTCCTTTACATGTAGATTCCATGTCTTCTTCTGGTCGAAAGTTTAAACGGTCAAATGTTCATTTTAAGACACATTCAAACGCACCTGTAACTGTAAATGTAACTGATCCCTTTGCTGATAAAACTTTTCTCTCTTAAAAAAAAATACAAAAAAACGTCTTTATCAAGATTCTGGCGCTAACGCCATCCAAAGGCAGGCAGAGACTGCCCGAGAGGAAAGGGCAGCTACGGTTTGACACTGATAAGATTACAGTCTGCAAAAGATCAGTGGGTCGGACACATTAACGAACGGACAGACTGCCACAGTGCCCCGACAGGCGCGCTGACAGACGATGGAGAAGGCTGTCCCGACAATTCACGCGTAAAGCGCAACGACTAAACGCAACTGAATGGTAGGCGAGATCATTTTTACGCAGGAATCTCGCTTTCGTGTCAGGCGCGTCTTAGACAGCAGATGAGATGGACAGCGAAGTGCAGGAACGTGGGGCCATTTAGAGCTAAGAGGATAATAAGCGTCTAATCCGCACACTGGACACAGATGGAGAGCATGTCTTGACGCAGAGGCAGGGGAGGTGCTCAAGCAACAGACACTCCATATTAATACCGTGTGTGTGTGTGTGTGTGTGTGTGTGTGTGCGCGCGCGCGCGCGCGCGCGCGATTGACTGCCTGTGTGCACAACAATGACAACAATGACCAAAATGGCAAAACAATGAAACCATTAATTCATGTTGGCTATAGCAGCTGCTCTGTGCTCATTAATATGTCACTAACAGTCCAGCTGATTACGCGCCATTAATTGTGGTGGCAGCCTGAAGAAAAAGAAACAGAAGTAAAGTTTGAACAAGAGGAGTGGTCTGCGCGCGCGTGTGTAAAGTCACAATGTTCACGTGCGTGTGTATTTGAGAGAGAGAGAGAGAGAGAGAGAGAGAGAGAGAGAGAGAGAGAGAGAAAATGGTGTTTGCAGGAGAGATCAGATTTATGGTATCAGAGAAGCATTTTTCTTATCAAGGAGCACTAAAGACAGAGAGGACTGGGAACAATGTGCACACACCAGTACCAGGCACTATTACAACACTGATAAAGTGCAAGTCAAAGTTGTCCACAGCCTCCACTGTTATGAAAACTGGAGAAAACGCAATTTTACTCATCACATGTGCTGCAGAATTTTTTTTTCATGTCGGTTTTTTATTATAGTATTATATTATATTAGAGCTACCACATGGGGCTAACCAGCAGCCAGAAACCAGGCTGGTTTCTTAAGCCATTTTCATTTTCACTCTGTTGGTGGTCTACTTAGACTTAATTTTCCAAGTCCGTCATATTCCACCTTCATGCAAAATGAGTATATAAAATTGAGCAGTTACTCAAGCCATTCATTTATACAGAATAATGTGGAAATCCTTTTATCTAATTCTGATCCAACATTTTTGCCCTGATCCACAGTCAGCTACAGAAAAAAAGAAAAAGAAACTCGGGTCTTGTAATACACAGTGATAACCGCTGTGGACACCTCGAGTAGTTTTACATGTTCATTGCAGTCATTTTTATAATGACTCCTTCTGTGTAGCTACAGTATATCTCAGGTCATACCATCAGAATTTGTCTGACAGCTTGTATTGTAAAGGTAGAATAGTGCTATTAACCTGAGGCTGAGACTTGCTGAAGGTGAATATCTTGAAAACGCAGCTGTCATGTGTTACTCACAGGACATTATTTCATACGCACAAGTTAGGTTATGAGATGACAGCTCTCATTTTTCCATGTGACCAGTGCTAAAACACTGAATATTGGCTCCAGTCCACATGCACTACGTTTTAATGCTCTCTATCAGTATGTGAAAAGTACTTGTAGAAACAGTAAGAAGGGCAGAAAAGGAAACATTAGAGGAGGCAAAGCAGGCATCAAAGCAACATGTCTGTCCTCAGACACCTCACAGCTACTGCCCGTCTCACTAACATTTCCACTGAGGACTGTAGATGATTGAAGCGTTGACTGCATTTAACAAGATGTTGCCGTCAATTTCCTTTTCAGTAATGGCATTCCTCTTTGCAGTTAGAAAACCATCTTATAACAGGTGTAGTAATAGGAGCTCTCTGAATATCTGTGCTTAGATTGAGATGACACAGCAATTCCATAGACCCAGTCAGACAACCAAATCAAGTACAGTTGGTCATTTCAAATCAGAAGCATGACATGCAGCTATCAGTTTACCAATGATCACCAAAAGAAAATCACACCGCCAACCATAATCAAAGACCTTCAGACAAAATACAGTATAATATTAGTCTTACTGTGCAGTGTACGGTTCTGTCCATTTCTGTTCTACTTGCTTCCATCCGTCTTCACATTCACATGTGACATTAATTATACACTCTGTGGGTCACAGAGGTAAAATGTGATCTTATTATTCCAGGTTATTCACCTGCTATTATCATCCAATCAACAAAAAACATTCCACAGGAACAGCCAGAGGACTACACCTCTGCAGAGGCCAAAGAGAGATACTGTGAGTGAAATATCCTCATTGCCACTTTAGAGAAGCTCCACAGTGTGGACAAAGGGAAGATGATTTTCTGCAATTATGATCCTACATTTTGACACACAGTAAAGCTTTTCTTGTGTCATTGGTAATGAAATGTTATCAGCAGGGTGCAGACAATGTCATGCTCAGTTACTTCAAAATAATACAGCTCCAATGTTTTCTGGACCTTGTGTTCTCACTTATTCTTGCCAAATCTTCACCTGTTCTTGATTTTATAAAAATCCGTTTTGATGCTTGAGCACCGATATGAAAGCACCTTCTTTTACATTTCAACCCGGTCCAGGGTTTGGCATTTGGAGCTTGTGACAGACCTGAAAGAAATGAAACAGTAATGGCTTCAGTGGAATAAGAGCTTAAGTCAGTTTCCAGTGTTTCCTGTTATGACAAATGTTTTCAGCAAAAACAGAATCTGGGTACTGTGAGTCATGAAATAAAAGAAATGTTCAACATTAGGGACAACTGACTGAAAACCCAAACCTGAAGACCAGTTTTCAGTGTATCCAAAAGTCATAACAGGACCTCACTGGGTAAAACTTCTAGATATATCATCAGATCAGTGATGTCGACTGCAGCTAAACTGTAAACATGACAAAAGGATCTCAACAATCTAACAAATGAGGGTGGTTATCACCAAGAGTAACTACACAAGAGTAGCGAGATGATGTGCAGCGGCTCAGGTGATGGACACTGAAATGCATGTGAAGAACTCACTGGTTCCATCTCCTGGACAAAGACAAACGCACAGCAGAGGGAGGGACGTACTCTCAGGTGAACCCACCTGACGAAACAAAGCCATATTTGTTCACGTAACATTATCAGACAAACAACTAGTCTATCTATCTGTATTTTCTATATTAATCTAATTTAAATTAAAAAAAACAAAACATTTTCCTTCTGGTAAGCAAACTTATTCAAACCATGAGAGAAACACAGGGTAGCTTTCAGAAGAGCCTTGTCCCAAGTAAAGACATGATTTGTTACTTTTCTATTTTAAGCTAAAAACAAGCAAATAAACCAGACTGGTGGTTTAGAAAATTGTTTAACTTGATGAGAAGAACAGCAGCCTGTAGTCAAAAGAGTGTGACATGTTTTGTCAGATTTTAATTGGTTCTTTCTCACCACACCATGGAGATCACTAAAGATAAATTGATGTTAGTCATTATTTGAGCTATCATCCACCAGCCTCCAAAACGTTCAGATCAGTTATGTGTTTTTGCCAACCTGCATATAAAAAAATTATCATAAGCATTCGTTTTAGTTCTTTCAGTGTCCTACATGTATTTCTTTACCTTCAAAAACAGGATACACACAGTCGCTTTGCAGAAAAGGAAGTTACTGAAAGGTATGCAAGTCATTGTTGTTGAAGATGAAATAAAGAAAAAAGAAAACGATTACTGGCAGGTGTTAATGCCTCTGATGTGCTGTCAATGTGTCACACATTGATAATAACAGCGGTAAACAGTGTCCACTAGTGGCAGCATTTAAGTCCTACATGCACATGTGTGAGAAATCAACACATCTGGGTACAGTGTTTTCAACCAGTTTACTGACTGTACTGTTCTTCACCTTTTATATTAATGAACAGACATTTAGAGGTTTTACACAGCCACTTATAGCTGACGAAAATGTGTCATTTACCTACAATCACGAAAACTGAAAACAAATGTAGAGTAAATGGTCTATTTGTTTACCGACTGTTATTGACCCCACTTTAACGTTTCTGAGTCAACTCCCAGTGGTTCAGCTCAGCAGACGGCATCCACTCCACTCACAGCTTCCAAAGCCTGATCACTCTCACCCTGAGGCTCCAGCAGCACCCGTCTACATATGGTGTGGATTACTCTCCAAGCACCACTGTGGCACGCCAAGGAGGTGATTTTTATCATGTATTCAACGATCCACCCAAATCCATAAGTAGCTATAAAATCATCAGCAAAGGGAACTTCTTACTTCTGCAGTCAAACTAAATTAAGCTGACATCAGGGAGCTGATTTGATAACAATTAAACAAGTATGGTTGGTTATTTTCTTATTTTTGGTAACTTCTTGTACTAAATGTTAATATACACATACTAAATTAAGTGAATCCAAAGTGAACTAAGCCCTTCTGTGGTTAAAGCTGACCTTTGGAGCCTAAAACTGGACAGCCTCCCCTGCTCCTGAGCCCTAACCATGGCAGTTGCTGGAGAAATAGCTGTTATTGTATATCAATCTGACATAAATAAAACAGCCATGTTAGCAGCCTTGTTGTGATTCTGAACCTCGATGCAGCCCTGCTTTGCGCCTAATGCTATATGCTACCATCCTCACAGTGACAATGCTAACATGATAATGATCAGCTGGTAGAATGTTTACCATGTTCACCATCTTAGTTCAGTGTGTTAGGACTAACACAAAAACCAAATACAAAAAGCTAAGACTGATAGAAATGCCATGACAAATTTAAATTTTGACTAGACCACAGCCCTGGGAGAAAAGTGAAGGAATCAGCAAAGAAATTAGAAGTTATTCTCTGAACACCATAGTGCACCACATTTAATGCCAAGCCATCAAATAGTTGTTGAGATATTTCAATCTGGACCAACTGACTGACTGATATTACCATCCCTCAAACCACGTGCATCTATCATGGCAAGAAACAGCTCTTTGACTATGACATTAAAGCACTTGCAACTGCAGAATACATTATTGCTAATCTCCCCACTCTCCTTGTCAGTGCGTCAAGTCAGGACATTCTTTTTTCCTGCTAATTACTACACCGGCAGCCATGTCCCAAATCAGACATCAGTTCCAGCTGTCAGCTCCTCCCTCCCACAAGCCATCCTGGGGCTGCAGTTTCATGTTGGCCGATAATGACGGGTGAAATGACCTGTGCAATTAGCCGGTTACATGCGAGTCAAACCGAGCCCCAAAAATGGCTGACAGATTCAATTGCAGATCAGCCCCCGATTAGCCCTCATACCTCGCGAGAAGGGAGATGGACATCTGTTTGGTATATTTGCTGCTTGGCAAGGGTGTAATTGCTTGAGGATGAGGTATTTCCATAGTTAAGTGAGCAAGTCAGTGGAGAGGGAAGCCTCCTCTGAGTGATTAGTACACTAACATCTAAAAACACAAGCAGGAGTCAACTCTTATTCTGTATGAATTTACAGTAACAGCGCATTTGGATGCTCAAATGGTTTTTGCATGTTCAGTGTAGTCAAGTGATTACAATACAATGTGGCCCACATGTGCGGATGCACTGACACAAACATGATTCATCATGAAAGGCTACACTTCAAGGGTGCATGGACGAGCGTGTATGTTTACACATCTGCATATATTGTTCAAATGCCTATGGACATGCAGTATGTATTTCACATCAGGCTTGTTCATGAACTGCTGTAAAGTTTAAGGCCTGCCTCGAACTAGATTGGAGGAAATGGAAAGATTTTTCTGGGGGAAAAAAAAAAGGGTGTGCACCAGAGCAGATGTACTTTTTATCCACAATAATCACTCTCAAAGAACAGAGAAGATGAAGGCTGCTGGGAACAACACAAATGAGAGACAGGTCTGTATATTTCAAGGATTGCAAGGATTCATTTGGACGAAATCAGAAGACAAGTGAACTGTGTTTATGGCAAGTCTTGGTTCCGGTGCCATAGGGGACCAACTTTGAGAGATTAAATTAGCTTGAAACACTCTACATTTAAAATAACTGCATTAATGGTCTAGTCTTGGCTTTGAACATCCCCATATAAATGAACTAGAGCTTGATCCATCTGGACTTTGAATCAAATAAGCTCATGTGGTATACATTATCATCTATACTATTTGTTCTGCTCACACTGAACAAAAAGTCTTTAAACACTACAGCTGTGTGTGCAGTTATTTTTACTGTCCTGCAGACTAAAGTGAAATAAACAGCTTTTAACTACTCTTGGAAGGAGAGCACTTGACACGCAGGCACATAATCTCCTCAGATCACTTTCACTCATCTTTCCTCTGGTTTCAATCATAGTTTCACCCATGCACATCTCTGCCTTGTTATGTCTTCTAAAAAAGATGATGAGATTGAATAACAACATGAGTTGACACAGTGAACAGATGAGATGAAATTTTCACATTCGTTCACTGAAGTACTGAAGAGGTAGATGCTGAGTTGAGGCCACAATGTGACAATAGAAGGATTTCATCTGCCACTTTATACAAAGCAGTCCTGCGTTTCTTACTGATGCTATGGCTGGTTTACAGCTCCCAGTTTACAACTGTTTAATATGTTTAGCATCTACACACACAAAACATGTGAGGTAAGCTGATCCATATAGTTTGTTGTGTTTCTCAACATCATTATATCATTGTAACATGCAATTATTACGCAACAAAAGCCATAAAATCTTTCCCCGATTTAACACGTCTTTAAAATGTTCATTTACACCTTGTGAGCCAGTGGTTCTTGACATGTAACTTAAGGAAACTGAGAAAAGCATTAAGCCAATGTAATTGAATTAATGGAAATTTAATGTCTTATCCTTACTTAGTCACAATGTAAGATTCAAAATAACATTTTCTGTTGCTAAATATAGAAGGGAACAGATTTACAAAGGAAATCTCTATGAGTGAAGCTGTAGTGGACATCAGCTCAGAGCCCTTGGTGTACAATATCATCTGCTCATCAGCTGTAAAACAGTGTGATTTCAAGCACACTGTGGTTATAAGTAGCAACACAATCTACCCAGTCTGTTTTGACTGGCTGATTAGAAACACATTTCCCATCCAATATCAACCAAACACCAAAAGCAGGAGGGGGAATCTGGCGTATTGTTAGTGGAAAGTGTGAAACTTCTCTCTTCCTAGAACACAGACTGAGCCTCTTTCATAACATAACATAACTCCTCTACCCTCACTAAGTTCAATCATGAAGTTGGACTCCATCCCTCTGTGTTGTCTGCATGGGTGGAGACTGGAAGAAGCAGAGGATGGACCGTTAGACGTCACCACCACTCCCCATCTCTCCTGCTCGACCTCTCGCTCCCCCTCAGTCAGGATTGATGGTGAGTGAGGATGAACAGGAGTTTGCGTCACCGCATTGTGCAATAGAAACTGAATGAAAACCCGAGTGAGGGACTGTGAACTGGGAATCATTTTAGTCCTCCGAGAGGCGTCGTTGGATCCGTCTGTTTGCAAACAAGTTCAGAGGGAAGTCGTTTCACGCTTTTGCCGTAGGTTTCGTGCGCCTCGGATGTTGCGCCACGCTGCAGAGTGATTGCCAGCTGGCATGAGAGTGATAGCGTGCAGTTTACAGTACGCGGGCAATAAAACATTGATCTTCAACATTTTCAGTGACAAGAGCTGATGAGCGCGCCGCACCGTTTCCTCTCCAGCTATTAGACGTCTTCAATATGCCGTTTATCGTCGTTGTCAGATGATACCTGTTGATTTTGCATCGCGCCATGTCCTTCTGTCGGACTGAAGTGGACAATGAAGTTATGGGATAGCTTGACCACTTGTTTGATACTGCTGAGCGCCGTGCACGCCAGCCCGCTGCTCCGGAGCCCGCAGCGGTCCACGTCCACCAAGAGGAGAGGGCGCGCCGACGAGAGTCCCCTGGAGCTCCCGCCGGTTCAGATCCGCCTGTCTGTCACCTCCCACGGCATCAGCCGCGCTGAGGCGGATGCAGCGGACTGGGAAGAGACGCTGGCTGGAGGAGCAAAATGTAAGAGCCTGTGGTTTTGTACGGCGTGCCAAAATGCCACAACCACGCCAAGACGTAATTTGCAAGTAGCAGGCTGACTAAGACTAGAATTATTTGTATTTTTTAAACAAGTTAGGCCTATATTATGATCTGTGTCCGATAGATTAAAAAAATAGGCTACAAAATAGAAGAAACTTGGAACTGGACACTCTATTGGCACATTTTCACTTCAGAAAAAAACAAAACAACTTTGTTTAGACTTAAGTTGGCACTAAAAAACTTTTTAAATTTTAGAGTGCATCCAGTTACTGAAACATTTCCAATATCCAATCTCATTCTGCCTTCTAACCAATTAGGGTTACCTAAGTCAGAGCTAGTGGAGTTTGTGGATTTTGATGTTATTACTTCCTTAATACTTTCCCCACAGTGAACGCCCACATAAAACATGCTTTTTAGTTTTTGACATAAATAAATGATGTCGGTTGGCATCTAATGATTATTCTTGCTCTGAATAAATCTAATCTACTTTATGAAATGTTATAATGTAAATGTAAAAATGCTTGTCACAATTTCCTAAAGCTCAAGGTGATGTCCTCAAATTGCTCATTTTGTCCAGTTAACTGTCTAAAACTTAATCATACATGTCTGAATGTCTTTAATTTTTGCTATAAAAAATTACTTAACAACCAATTGATTGTTAAAATAGTTGTCCACTAATCAATTTAGTGGTTTAGCTCTTGCACCACAAGGATACATACTGGCTGCTGTAGCCATAATGAAGTCCACACAAACATACAACTGTCTGGTGCATAAATAAGAATGGGATCCTTCTGTAAACTGGATGAATCAGTTCAAATGGAATTCCACTGCAGAAAAAAAAAATGTGTGTTAGCATTTTTGCATTTGGATGGGTGGTATCTGACACAATACTCCAATTCTTCAATGTCCAGTGTGGTGTGGTAAACAATGGGTTTCGTCCAATATGATATTCCCTTCTAAGAGTGCCATTCCTCTTAATGTGTTTCAGACCTCATGGACGAGCCCCTGCCGGGTGAGTTTGAAGATGTGGTGGACTTCATCAAAGTGACCATCAGCAGAATACGTCGCTCCTCGTCATCCACCGCGTCCTCATCTACCCCACCCTCCACCACTTCCTCCCCCTCCAAAGAAAACTCAAGCAGCAGCGCCCGACACAGAAGGGAGAGGACAAAGGGGGTGAACCAGCAGAGTGGTAAAGGAGGAAGAGGAGGAGCTAGAGGAGGGGAGACAGGCAGGAAGGTTAGAGGAGGAGGCGGCAGTGGACGAGGACAGGGTTGTGTGCTCAAACAGATCCACCTCAACGTGACGGACCTTGGTCTGGGCTACCGCTCAAGTGAAGAAATGATATTCAGGTACTGCTCAGGACCCTGCAGGAAGTCCGAGACCAACTACGACAAAATCCTCTATAACCTCGCTCATAACAGGAGGCTTCCTTCCAGAGACACACCCCCTCAGGCTTGCTGCCGACCAATAGCGTTTGACGACGATCTCTCGTTTCTGGATGACAACCTTGTTTACCACACCGTGAAGAAGCACTCTGCCAGGAAGTGTGGCTGTGTGTAGCAAGTGTAAACTGGTGTTAGGCTTTGTGTAATTTTACATTGACTCCCACTTTGAAGTATGGTATTGGGTGTTTTTTCTTCAGATTTTTGAAATTGTGAGGAAACTTTCTGGCGTGACACGTTACCATGCTTGACTTGAGTCCAACAGTAAATGAGTAAATAAGGAGAAGAGGTGGCATCACTTTAGTTTCTAGCCCAAAGCGATGGCCAATCCGCTTCTTCTCAACCTGAGCTCCATCACAATATCCACGATTTGCTTTACTGTCCACACCTTACATCACAAATCTGTTCAGTGTAATTTGAAATGTTTCCATGGATACTCAACCAAAAAGACTGAAACAAGCTCAAACACAATTCAGCAGACTCACTCTGTCTACTGTATAGCACATATGTTACATGGACACTTGTGAAATGTATTTATGGAATCTTGAATATATTAACTTATTGATATTTATTTTTGTTTTTATAAAATGAATAAATGTTATTTATTATTGTAATGTGATATTTTAGCGTGTGCCAAAGGTTTAAATCAAATCATTTTTATTTCCATATAGAAGCAGTAAAAAAAAACTGGGTGGTTTACATTGCAAAAATGATCTTTTACGCATCAGGATCTTATGTTTAAGGTGCCCTGCAGAGTTGTCCTGTAAACAAACACGTTTGCCTGCACGTACGCACGATACAAAAAAAAAAAAAAAATCAGGGTGCTACTCTTAAAACATTGCTCTATAGTGCTACTAGTGGTCAAAAACTCCACAGGGCACTATTAAAGTTTTTATTCACAGGAAAACTTTCCTCATGATCTTAACGTTTACAATGTTGTACGATTTCAGTGTCATTTGACTGCATTATTTCCTGTTTGTTTGTTTTTTTTATGAGGTAAGAAAAGCTTTAGATTTGTTCTCAGATTAGAAGAACAGTTGATGATTCATGGTTAGTCTCATGTCCTCCTCTAAGATGAATTGCTGTGGTACTGAAACAAGATTTCCTCACTTTAAAAACATGACTACATTTTATTTTTATACAGTAATCACCTTTAAATAGTCCCATTTAATTGTTAATAAATGCATTCTTACACAATGCAGTGTATTCTGTAATGTACACACAGGAATCATTGTTTCTGTCCTTTGAAACCATGCTGTTATAAATCTGTCAACCTTGTTACTACTACCACCCTTTACTCAGAAAAAACTATTACATTATTATGCTATTACATAAAATTGACATCAAAAAACAGTTGGGGTGGAGACCCTTGAAAGGGAATGGTAGCAGAAATTAATCATTGTATTTCTGTCACTTCTTGTGTAAAAGAGGAAAAGGAAGAATAGAGCAATAGGGATGAATCTACTGAATCCTTTAAGAAATGAGAGAAAACATAAAAGGATGAATAGAATCTGATGTTATCAATTGACAGGAACAGGCATTAAACACAGGAGACAATGGAGCACACAAACCCAGTACAGATCTTCATCTGCAGTATAAGAATAGAGGGAAGGTGAGACCGACAGTGAGGGATGAATGATACATGGCTGAAAGATGAATGTTAAAAGATCTTTCAACATAAAGAAAACATGGAAGAATGAGCTAGAAGAGGAGACAATGAATGACACTATGATTAAAAGGCGGCAAATATCCAGAGAAGACAATGATGTAAGAGAACACGAGAAGAGAAGTCGTGCTTAACTTGTGTGTGTGGTCGATATCTGATCCATGCTCTGCTCTCTCACATTTCACAGCCCTTCCTCTGCCTGTCTCCTGAGCTGTGAGTCAGTGCAGCCTGGTCCAACAACTACAGGCCAAAGTGGGCTTCCCAAGCCCCTATCGTACTATATAACTTAGATTTATAAACAGCAGTCTGTGGTTCTCTGTGTGACATTTTACCAAGAAAGATCATGCACCAGTCAGGCTCAGAGCGATGATGGTACAGTTTGACAGTCGGTGTTTCACTGGTAGACATAGCTAAGAAACTTAAAGACATGAAGAAGTTTATTTTCCTGTGCTTGAAATTATTAACTACTCAATGAACATATCACCATGGTAACATTATAATCTGCAGCCAGTAACTTTGACGCAAAACCGGTTACTCACAATACCAATATTTTCATAAAATGAAAAGGATTTAAAAATGAGTTAGAAGAGAATTTTATTTTGAGCTTCCATGCTCAACCTAAATACAGTGTGAGTCAACACTTTCCACAACATAACTTCTGCCTCCTCTACTCATTATTGTAGTTTCCTGACCACAGACAAACCAGTTGTAGCCTAAAGCATACACATTTTTAAAAATGTAACACCCACAGTGAGGCTTGGCCAAACGTGTAAGTAAAATGTAGGCTAATGGCTGCCATGGGCCTAATTAAACATATTCCTAAATTAACTATGACAGTAGCAAACTGTTTCTGGGCCCACTGTGTAAAATGTTATCAGTTTTTTTTTTGTCAACTTTAGCTGTTGACAACAGAGGAAATCATTAGCGCTGACTTGACAGTCAGAAGATAGTGTTATTAGTCAGATGAGTCTTCTGCTCTATTGTTCGTGGTGTCAGAGGAGCTTGTAATGAGGGATAATGTTCCACTGGAGTGTAATACAACACAAGTGTTAGCTGTTAAGGGGATGGTGTTCGAAACAGGTGCTGAATACTGGCAGAACTGTACACGCGGACACATTGATGCTACATTTAAACTTTAGAGAATCGGTTCAATTAAATTACAAAATTATATATTTTCTTTCTTACTTGTGCAGATAAATTTGCATTTATTTGCAAAGGTTTTCAGTTATGGGATTTCATCTCAATACAGGGGAGGTGAACAGATACGGATCGCAATGACAAATTATAAAAACATTAAACAGCAAGACCCATTTCCAGAAGCAATGTCCTGGTTGCTCTGCAAAATCCACACACCTGAGGGTGAGGTTTTTATTGGGACTATTTCTGTAGTGGTGGTTTAAATGAAATATACAATCTATACAGTCCATGTAATAGCTCACTTTTTACTCACACTTATTTTACACATTTTTACATTTCAAGTCTATTTTCTTCCATTACACACACACGACTACAGTTTTTGTGTATTAGTATCCGAGTGCTGCAAAAATGCTGATAATCTACAACTCAATGCTGTGTCTGAACACAATGTATAGATGCTGACGGAGGACTGAAGCTGCTGCTCTGCTAACATGTTGCTCGTAATATGCCTCCTGTGAAGACACAGTGTCAGAGGAAATATTTCAAAACCTGGGCCAATAAAACCATTTTGTAATTTGTGAAATATGTCAAATCTAATTTGGGTGAACTGACCCAAGACAAAGCTTGAACTCCAAACAAAGTCTTGGGGTTTTAAAAACATGAATGTAAAAGATACTTCTGGAGCTCATAAAACTGAGAATAACATTAAACAAAACCTTAAAATGTGAATGATTGAAAATACTAAAATCCCAATCACTTGAATGGGAAAGTGGTCTCAGACTTTTGGACCCCAACTGTAGGCTAATCTTATCAAAAGATGAAAGCTTTATATTTATATCAATTAGATGAATGGTTTATATGGATATTTTCCATATGAATATTTTTTACTGAGAAACTGACTCAAAGGCCTTTTGTAGTAATTACTGAGGGTAAAGAGGGCACGTGAAGTTCATTTTTCCCATGATTTCCAAACCAATCTGGTGACACGGCTGTTAAAAGTCGACCTCTGACTTTCAGGAGAAAAGCCAGCTTCCGCTGCATCTCAACGCCTGGGTTCATGAAGTTCTCTATGGTAGCTCAAATTCTCATCATTCGATTCAAATCAGCGACCAGCTTGTTTACAAGAGGAAGCCGCTGTGGGCAGAGCCTCGTCTGCCACTATTGTGCCAGCAGGCGTGAGAAAAGATACAAATGATAAATGTAATCACGGTTATATCAAACATGTCGGGGGTCTTCATGAGAGATTTGTCAAACCACAAGAAGCTCTTTGTGCTACTGCCCTGGAATCTGTCAGTATGACTCAGGCTACATGACGAGTCAATTCTAACAGACAACCACAAAAGGAGAAAAGAGAGGCATCACAGATGAAAACAATACAGCTACCAATTCGAGGGGTATGACGACAACACAACGCTGACGCTGTCTCACCCTGTTTCTAAGATCAAAAGAAGCTCCCGGATCCGTTATCTTCTAATCTTCACAACTGATAAAAGTAGTGTCTTTTATCAGGAATTCTCAAAAACTTTAAAGGCCTGAAGGTCATGAAGGAAAAATACAAAAGCAGGGGAGAAGTTTGAGAAGTTTTGGCACCAAAGTTCTGCTACACTAAAATAGACAGTGAAAAGTCTAAAGAAAACACTAGTATTTTTGTGATTTATACAAGAAACAGGCTCTTCAACATCCTTAATGCAATAGTTTAAGAAACACTGCTGTGCTGTCATCGGACTGGCAACAACACAAAGCAGAGGCAGAGGGGATTAACATGGAGCTGTAACCGCACTGCCCTGATCATCTTCAACTGGCCTATCGCCAAACCTCTAGTCTGGACCACCAGCCGCAGGCTCCCCACTCATCACTATTACCATGCACACACACATAGACATGTATTATTATTATTATTATTAAGACATCACTGTAGTGAACTGCAGATGGAATATACACTGATTCAGCCAATGGCCAGTGAGAGGGAGAGAGGGGACAGTCAGACAGAACCATCTTATAACATTTAAACATCAGTGGTGTAGTGTGAGAAAACCCCCTATTTTCAAAAAGTCAGCTTCCTGAGAAAATGTTTTGAATTTTGCTGGAGGTTTTAACTTTATGCGTACTTGCAGGAGACAGTGATGGTGAAATATATAAAAGATCAGAAGAAACGGAGCATCTGATTCATTCATTCATTCATTCTTCATTTCTGCAGCTCACGATACATATGATGTAATCACTTGACTTTTTTACATACATGATATATCGAAATCATTCGATCTGCTGTTAGCCCTAACCCAGCGCAGACACTAACAGGCCTTTGGTGGATGCAG